AAGGGGGCTTAGTAGTTTGTATTCTACATCTCATAATAGCCTGCGAAAGCGCCAGAGTTACAGCTTCAAAACTGCCGAGGACAACGTAATCTTCACAAGAAGATATTAGTACGGTTGATGGAAGTCATTGTATGACGCAAATTACAGGAAAACCACATTCTGACGAGACACATGTCATACTACCGAAGATAGAGAGAGCACGGCATAGACCAATGGGCAGAGACAATAATTTAAACCACGGTCGAAGTTAGAATTGAATGGCTGAAACAAAAACAAAATCTCTAGGCATTATGTTTGAATTATGTTGCGGAACGGTCCATTGTTTACTTGACCTTTTAACGTGCCTGCTCAAGCTCTAACGTGCATGTCACATTATATATGCAAATTTATGTCAGAACACGATTAGCAACGGCAAATCACAGACGTTCTCTCCCCGATTTTTTGAGGGGTGAGAAACGGATGTACACAGGCTATGTTTTCATAGATTATACGTAAACGTTTAAGATTAAAAAATTAAATTTGCGTAGTTTATAAGCGTTATATAAATGGCTTAGTGTTGTGAGATGTTTTCATAGATCATTTGTAAACGTTTAAGATTAAAAAATGAAGTTTGAGTAGTTTATAAGCGTTTACTAATTGTTAATTTACGGAGAAGGTATTGGTTAGGACTAGCACAGGCTAGTAACGAGGTATATTTTTTTGCTGTTGATCCGGATCAAAACGGCCTAAAAACCTGATCCCGATCCCAAARCTCCGTACATTTTGAGCCCTGATCCCCTTACAGAATCGTTGAAAAATATCATTGATCCCGATCCCAGTTGAAAAACCTTTGATCCCAGATTAAATGCATTTGATCCGTATCCTGGGCCTAAATTCTGATCCCTGATCCCAAAATAGTCCAAAAAATTACGCTGATCCCTGATCCCAAGACCTCGTTACTAGCCTGACTAGCAATCTCTAGGGCGCTACATTGTAGACCCCACTAAAGACGGCATGCCATAAATCTACATATTGTGTATTCTAACAGCGGATGCATGAATACTGTGCCTTTGAAACAGAAACACGTGTCGACCTGACGAGAACTTTTGTCATGCGCGTCGTTGAAAGTCTATGAAGCTACTATTGCTGCTGCAGTTGTTGCTGTTCTCATTGTCTAGAGCTGATATCATCAACGATTCTAGGCGCTATAGGATCAAGTGACTTGATTGACCGTATTTCAATTCTTACCAGTAATAGCTCTCCCAGAGCTAAAGTCTTTTAAAATGTTAGGGAATAGAATCCCATAAGTGGCAATGAAACCGTAGGCCAACACGTTACAAAGGAAGAACAAGAAACATAATAACCACGACCAAGGACCATCGATTCTTTTAAACTCCAAACGTAGAGGTTGTTCATAGTCAATGTCGTTGATATCTTGCTGCATCAACGTTGTAGCCATATTAAAAAAATATTGTGTTCTTTCACAGAGATGCTTGAAAACGCCTGGAGGAATACCCACCTCAGCTGAATTGGGTTTGTACCACAGGAAGCCCGAACCCACTACATGAACAACAATAGCCAAAGTTAAATGTGGTTGATGGATTTGTGAGAAAATATGATTTTGTATAGCTTTACATTCAAGATATTTGAACATATTATACCACAGTAATCGCGATGTGGACAAGTTTGTTCTATTATGACCTATTATATATATATATATAATATATCTCGTAAAATTTGGCGGAGTTACTCCACGTAGAGCGCTCGTGTAAACTTGAACTTAGCTCAATAAACTCCTGAAGATTGAGGCTTTGCCTCATGAAACAGACCTGTAGAGGTTTGACGAGTTTTATTCATAGACTCTCTAAATATATATAATATATATAGGAAGAAAGCGGAAGCTCGCTAAGGCATTTTTGATGACCTATTATATATATAGGAAGAAAGCGGAAGCTATGGTAACACAGAGCTCGCTAACGCATTTTTTTGTATTACATCTCAGTGTGTGAACCAACACGCTCTCAAGCAGCTTTCAGCCACCGATATGAAGTCAATTTATGTCTTAAATTGGTATTCCTTTCTAAAAAAAACAAAATGCATGATTTGAAGATTGTGAAAACATGAAACTTATAGTTGCTATCTGTGTCAAGCGTACTTGATTATTATACTTATATAATATATATACCCAGCTTGCAGAATCAGACACTATTTTTTCCCTAAGCAAATCCTATGTTTCAATGCTATTTTTTTACTATGTGAGGGGTATGTTTTTACTATGTGAGGTGTGTGTTTTTGCTATGTGATTTATATATGTATATATATCACGAGTGTGCATGATACATATACAGCGAAATTGAATTATATTCAGATAGTTAAAGAAAAAAAGAGTGCATTATATTCACTATAAATCCGTCAAACACTTTTTAGAAACGCACAAAATTGCACTTCTTTGATAATAGAAAACAAATGATTTATCAGATTACAAACCAGAATGTTCGTCTACTTGTACTGTAGGATCAAGTTACTTCGAATACTTACAATGAAGGCGTCAAATCATCCAATGAGGTCTCGATGAAACTAAACTCGTATTATAGTAGAATGAGTTTTCAGACTTAACTGAGCCATTCCAAACGAAGCTTAGTGATCGAGGAGTGCCTTTGATATATCAGATCCCTACAGTGATCCAGTTTTTTATTTGCATATTTTGTCTGCGTCTTTGACTTGTTGATCTTGCACTGAAGCGAATAATTATATTTCACCCACGGCCAAAGCAAACACTTTTCTAAAATATCTATTTATACTACGCGCGCTGATTGGTCGAAAACCATGTTTGATTACAGTATCAAAACACGCTCGCGCGCGTCAAAAAATTCTTTTTTTCCCGCCGTTTGCATTTGTTGTTGTTATCATTCATTTTCAAGAACAATGAACGAAGAAATGCCTATTTATGATGTCCTCTGGGATGATATCCCAGAAGAAGAGCTATCAAACGTTTTAGAAGCTACAGAAGCTGCAGAAGCTACTTCGAGATTTGCAGAGATAGACGACAGTCACATAGAGAAAATTCTTGACAACTCAGTCAAAAAAAAAAAAAAAACAAAGTCAGAATTCTTTTAATTTTAGATTAAGGAATAAAAGACGAAATTCCGTGTTTGATACTCTGACCAAAACACGCGGGATGTAGGGAGAGCACGAGAGAAGCGTAGGAAACCACGACGCTTACTTTTATTCCTTAATTATAAAATAACTTTAGTATTACGCGAGCTCTGATTGGCCAAAAAGCCGTGTTTGATGAGAGCATAATACACGCTCGCGTCATTTTTTTTCTCGGCTTTTGTTTTCTCATGAATCATTTGAGCGCTTGTTATTTTATAAAAGCAATAAAAAACAGTTTTCCGTGTATTATACTCTGATAAAAACACGCGGGATGTGGGGAGAACACGAGAGAAGCGCCGAAAACCACGACGCGAAACTGTTTTTTATTCCTTAAACAAAATTACTGTTAGTCAAATAGTTACTAAAAATTCCGAAATTCATCCGAAATATGTGGGATCTTGCTCCGAAAGTTACACAAAGGCATAAAGCAGTAGTAATCACATGGAAAAGACGTTGAGAAAAAAAAAAACTTAAAATTTATCCTCTGGGCTTCCTGTGCTTTTCCGCTCTAGTGCTCAGCGGTTATCATCAATAGAACAAAGAACAAGATGGCTGCAACTTACTTGAGCAGCGACCCTTCGTCGAAAGATCGGTAAAACACTTAGTTTAGCCTCATTATTGTGACAATCTTTTTATCACTTTTATTACTTAACGTCCCTCGTTCTTTCTGTTGTGATTAGATGGATTGTAATCTACCCAGCATATCTTAATGCGCGACGAACAGTTGCACAAGGAAGACGTGTCCCTAAATCGAAGGTAAAGCTTGTTGCTGTCCGCTTGTTTTTAACTGAAGTATTTAACACAGTTTAGAAATCCTTGTAATTATTTCATAGCTAGCTTTCGATGACGACTGGAGGGGGGTATTCAAATCCCTAGAACTGAACCCTGGCCACACCACATACACACAGGAACTCCGTGCCCTACTCTTAAGTTGAATACATGTAGTCTATTTAACAATTAGACCTCGGGATCGAGTGGACTACGAGCTAATAGCCCATGAGGCCGAGTCCACGAGGCCGAATGGGCTATTAGCTCTAGTCCACGAGGCCGAGAGGTCTAATTGTTTTAGTATAAACATACTAATTGGTCAAATACTGAAAACAAATTGAAATATCCTTAAAATAATTTATTGAGATTGATTTTCCCGCGAGTGGTCTATCACAAATTAGACCATTAGTAGAGTAGCCAATCACAGCGCAGTTTGAGTGATAGACCATTAGTATGTTTATACTAATTAAGGTTATTAGTGGTTTGGGTTCGTTTACGTCCCTCAGTTAAGAAAATACAAACGGAAGACAAGACGAGGCACTGAGAGAGTAAAGTGTCGTTCCTATTTATAAAGGTCTGGAAATCAAACCCATCCAATACATAGTTTGACCAAGCTTAAAAATCAGTTTTTTCAACCTGATTTATTGGAGAATCAAATCGTTCAGATCGATTATTGAATCTATGTCCAAATAATATGTTATTTCAATGGCCGCCTCCATGGTAAACATTGTACCCGAAAATTTATTGATATCCATGAAAAAATAAATCCAATAAAACCACTTATGACACAGGAACCCCAACTAAGGTAACATGTTTTGTTATTTTGTTTTTTAGAGTGTAGACAATCCAACAGTGTATGAAATAAGAGATGTTTGTCAGAGTCAAGGACTAGAAGTAGGATTAGAGGTAATTATATCTTACTTTTTACAACATTGTTGTAAATAACAATGAAATCATGAACAGTCCCTTTTATGGTCACACAAGTTTAGAGCTAGTCTCCACCTTTTATAGTCATGTCAGCTAAATGATCGCCTCAATGATCATCATGTTAATTGAGATGCCAATCAGAGTTGTTGATTGCATGGCGACAATATTTATGTACAGTAGGCTTGGAAAAGTATAAGTGGCCAGACGTCCACTATGTACATTTGTACACGTACAACTGTTAAGCTGCGTATAAAAGTACAAGATTACCAGGACTAGCTGCATGTATCATACTCTGAGAGTCCTGGCATGGGTTAAAAGGAGAAACGAATAGAGATATTTGCATTTCAAAACTACAAAATCTATAGAAAATATTCAGTGGTTGGCAACAAATATGCCCACCATGGTTATTTCTTTAGAAAAATCTTGATATCTCTTGAAATATTTAACCAATTGCCTTCAAATTTGCAGGAATTGTTAACAGGTATACTTTTCAATTATGGGCTTAATTTTCTTGTGGCTTGAAATACGATTTCTATTTTTTATTGAAATTATCTAAAATGTAAAAATAGGCGCTCACCTATTGCACAGGACAGTTCTTTTTTAAGAGGCTCTTCCTCTATCAAGAGGTATATATTCATTTCTATTTAATTGGAGATATTTTTTGTAATTATGAGTCTCTATATTAATTGCATTTAGGATAAATTATACCCAAAGGATAGCTCTAAAGATGCTCTATGCAAAGGAAGAGTCAGAGTTCAGTTAAAGAAATCTGATGGATCACCATCCAATGACAAGTTTATCAATAGTAAGTTTATCAAGTAGAGTGTCTATGAAATAGTATTCCTAGAATGACAAAGAACAAATTGATTGATTGATCAATGGATTGACCTATGTGTCTAAATGTAACTGCGTCATGTGATGGACCTTTTAACTTCTCACCAACAGGAAAATCTTTGATGTTATTTCTTGGAGAAATGATTCCAAAGCTCAAATCAAGACAGACAAAGTCTGGACAGACAGACAGCAGTGCAAGCCAACAGTCTGCTGCTGCCAAGAAAAAGAAGGGGAAGAAAACCAAAGCAAAATAATTTATATCAAAGATGTATGTTGTACTAAAATGAAAAAGACTTTTTTGCCTCTTAATATGATGGCAGTACAGTGAACGCCACATAAGCGTGAAACAATTCTTAACTACGGTAATTAGCGCCTGATAAGATTTAGTTACCAATTACAAATTCAGTGAGGTATAAACAAAGACAATTTCAATTCTGGTATTGTGTTCAAACCCTAGTGAATTCTTAGTTAGTTGATAACTAAAGCTTATTAGTTGTTGATTATTTAACAAATAATTAAGGCTCAGCTGTGGTTTATACTCTGATAAACGCACGCTTGGAATTTGAAACACACGAGAAAATATCAAGAAGCACAAGCTTTTTTATTATATAGATTTTGAGCAAAAATCTTTTTTGAGCACAATCTTGGTTTATACTCTCATAAACCACACTTGTTTGGCCAATCAGAGTGCGAGTTAGAATTCATCTGTATAATAATAAGAATTGTTTCACACTTTTGTGGTGTACACTCTACTTCAGGAAAATTATCGAAGATAGACGTATTTCATAACACCAGTCCAAGGTACAAGTATCTATCAAAGCATGTGGCCCTATCTTTTTGATACAGAAACATGTACAACTACTGAAGATTAGTGGGAGTTGCTTTTGTACATATATCTCTAAGGATCTATCTCTTAAAAATCATCTCTATTTTTCAAGCTTTATTTCACTAAAACTTCATGATTGTAAAAGCTAAAAATGCAAACAAGCACAAACCAAACAGTGGAAATGATAAGGCTAATTGTAAATCATTGATTGGCAACACTCTTAAAGTATATTTGAGTATTAGAATGGAATAAAAAATCATAGAATAAAACAAGGAACTACGTATGAATTCTTGTATTGTCTCCCATTTCTCTCCTATTTTCTCTCCCATTTCTCCCATTTGTGTTTATATCTCGGGACAAATGCACATGAAACTGTTTCATACATACACTGTACGTGTTTATTTTCGTATTGTTTCACTAGATTTTAATTATTTTTTATATTTTTACAATGCACCTTTAATTTAGCATTTTACAGCACTAATGTAAAGCAAAATTGCAAATGAATATGTACAAATTAGATATTGAGCACTATGCCTTTGCATTCTTGCAACCATCTAGGTTTTATGAATAACTCCTCTTGCAGATCCATCATTAGTTATGATCATAAGTGACTTTGACTTTGTGGTTTTCATAAACTCGTGAAACAAAGTGTAATAATTAGAACGTAATAGATTGTAATAGTCGCGTAGAGACAATAAAAAACAAAAGAGCCAAAGTGTAATAGCGATAAATACGCTAAAGTGTGTTTCACGGGTTAATGAAAACCACTCTATGAAGTTGTGTTTCTTTTAAACTTATTTCTCGCTTTCCATAAAGGTTACATGTAAATTAACTTTGTCAGGGTGAACACAATAAGATATCACCCTGTAATATTATCACTATATTTTTCAGCTTGGCCACACTTGTCTTCATGGGCTTCCTGTGTAGATTGCTCAGATTGTATTTAATATTCAATATTTCAAAGCACTATATGGAAACAATTGAAGATACATCAGACCAAACTGACGGCAGATTTACGACTACTTGTCTTCCTTTTCTTAGGCCCGTGTTTACAGGGGCCTCTTCTGAAATTGGGGAAACACTTGGAGATTTCTCTGGTAGCCCTACTTGATTAAGTCCCTGTGGATTTGGCACCTCTAATGGAAGCTTGAAGTGAACATGGGGAGATGGTTGACCTGGAATCATTAAATGTTTTCAATTCCAGGACTTTTCAAGGATTTCAAGGAGTAGCACATGTAGAGTGATCAGACTTAAACCATGCAACTTTTATATTAAGCAAATCATGCATGCGGTACGCAAATTAAATTGAATTGATACAAATGAAGCATTTAATAGTGCTTTGCTTCAGGTCCTCTGTTAAGGTCCTCTTTTAGTAGAAATCATTACCTGCTTAGATTTTGTATGAGTTGCGCTGTTTAAGAGCGATCACTTTAGTACATTGTACAATGTACACTGTAAGGGATTTGCCTTGATTATTCAGCATTGACAGGCCGCCTGTGAAAAAAGACTGCATCCTGCAATAATTTACATGAGCCACTTACCATTTGTGGACCTTTCCATCTTACTATTCCTACTGTTAATAGCAGTCTTCAATGCAGCAACATTATTCTTCTGTTTCATTGCTATACCATGGAGCCTGTGTCTCAACTCTCTTGTGGCTTGTGGGTCCTTAATTAATGACCTCACAAGAAAGGACTCCTCAGACTCCGGCATAGAATCTTGGGCCCTGTGAGGTCTGTCAGACGAGGGAAGAATTTGCTTTTCTTCATTTAAAATTTGCAGAGACTCATGGGAAGCTGTTGGTACACCATGCATTTGTACAGAGCCATGATATCCCTTGTCGCTATAGTTTTGCAAAGGTTTTGGGGAATGTTTGGGTACACCATTTATTTGCACAGAACCATTATATATTCTATCACCAGTATAACTTTGCAAAGAATCATGGGAATGGATGGGTACACCACCCAGAGAACCACTTGATGTACTGTTTGAACTAGCTCCAACTCCATGTTGAGCAATGACTGCTGAACCTTGATTTAAATCCATAATTTGTGATTTTTTAGGGTGTACCTTGATGGTACGTTTCTGGTTTTCTTTAACTCTGCTCCATGCCTGGTCCAAATGTGAACTTAAACCAGAAAATAGAGATGTCTCAGAAGGCAAACTTTGGCTGTTAGTTTCAATTTCATTATTGCTAAGCTGCGGCATGTTAGAATAATGGCCCTGGCCTTCCTGGAAACCAGGCAATTTGTCATKAACATGTGGGTTCATGCCAGGATACACCAATGGATCAGAAKGTAAACTATTGCTGTTAGTTTGAACTTCATGGTTTCTTCCTTGAACCACATTGAGATAATTGCTTTGCCCTTCCTGGAAGCCAGGCAATGATGGATTTGTGCCAGGAAACATCAATGGGTCAGAAGGAAAGCTAGTCAAATCAGATTGCATGTCACTATTGCTGCTTTGACCTCTGGTAGAATAACGTTGCTGGACACCATACCTTTCTTGATTGACATGTGTCTCTTTGCCGCTATGATGCAATGATGATTCAGATGTGATGGAGCCATTGATATTTGAGGTGGGTTCTGATACTGTAAAATTGTCCATGTTTGGATTGACGTAGGAAGGATGTTCTATGTGAATATGTGTATTTGGCATATGTGAGGTACTTGTAACTTGTTGGTTTGTGTGTAAAGGTGCTGAGGCTGGAGGAATAATACCTGGAATTAAAATGATACAGGAAATGATTGGCTCATTACAAAACTGACTTCAACTTCAACACCATTCATGCAACTCAAACCAAGGCAAATTGGTGATAACATTGCATGTTCACTGATCGTTGAAAACAAATACTTTTTTTGTATCGTTCAAGATTGCATTTAATGGAACCATGAGGTTCTTACAAAATGAAGCTCCCAAAGTGGAACACATAATATGTGCAAGGAAACACAGAACAAAAATGAATTTATAATTGGGTTCACTGGTGTGAAATGAAGAAAACTGATCAATAAAATGAAAAGTACCAAAGAACAAAAGCAACAAATCTGAATAATTTGGGATKGTTGCAGTTATTGCTCCTAAAAATATCAATAAAAGATACATCCTTAATATCTACCATTATTGCCATAAGTTGATACTGTCGTAGAACTACCATTGACACCCTGGTGATTTGTTCGATGGTAAGGTTTGTCATATTCTGCAGATACTGGGATATAATCTCCCTTGGTTGGATGATTAGAATTGTCGTTAACATATATTTGTGGTAGAGGAACTGGCTTGGTGCTTTTCATAGTGTCAATTGTACTTTGTATAGTGTGGTATTCAAAGCTTTTTAATACAACCTGAAGTTCTCTCTATAACAAAACAAGGTTATGAGTCATAAAGATTTTATTAAAAATAAACTTACCGTAATATCAATTCATTTAATAATTCATAACGTCACAATTGAAAATCATTGCCGTGACTGCATCTTTATATGAGCAAGAGATTTGTCCTGATTTGCATGTGACTTTTAACTTCAATTTTCTCCTTTTTAAACATAATATTCTACCTTGATGTTTTTTTTGCACTATAATAATGATTTAGCTTATGTTTGAATTTGATAAGCAATATAAAATATTTTATACATTTCATTCATAATAATGACAATTTTATTAAATAAATAGCAATATTCAATTAATTGAAAGCTAGGCTAACCTGTAAATAATTCAGCTGCTGGTCTGTGCTTTGCTTATATGCATGCAATTCACTTTGCAAAGTGACATTTTGTTCTTGCGTTCGCACAATATCCTGTTAGGGTTAAAAATATCTAATTAACTTTGTACATAACTCTAATATTAAAGCTTCACATCAATAATATTTTGGAGAAGTAGTTGAAATATTCTGTCAAGTACAGACAAAAGATAAGAATAACTATACTAACATTGGTTAAAGCATCAGTCAATGCCCTCTGTTCTTCAAATCCCTGGATGATCTGGTCTCTTAACACTGCCTCAGCTTTTCGGTGAACTTCTGTCTAATGGTTAAATAAAATATTAAATATTAATTATTAGGTATTTGCAAAGATGTGGATTTCTCTACATTACACTATGTACATATAAAATATATATCACATGACACAGGAGTTTACACATGTATTGTAAACTTTATCAAATTCATTAACAATTCATATATTATTATTTTTACCTCCTTCAAATATTTCATCAGTTTTGTAACAGCAGTTATCAATGAGGATGTGTAGCCACTAAAACTATTCGTCTGGAAACAAAATGAACACAATAAAAGTTTTAATACCGTACCCTGAATACAATCCATTCTGTACGATAAATGTGATATTATCAGTCAGATATACAATATGTATCATGCATGTACCTGTAATATTGTTGCTGTGGGTTGCCGTCCAGTTTCCACTTCATATTGTGCTATTTCATCCTCAAGACTTTCAACCATCTGAGAATGAATACAATACATTCATGATACCATTCAAACATTAACTGTTTTATAAGTTAACTTCAGTCTAAAACCATCACAAGTAATACTTGTACAGGGCTCGAAATAACAGCCAAACATATGCAGGACAAGATGTCCTTCCAAATTCATTTTTTGGAGGTCAAACAACTTTATTATACTATTGTTTTCTTTTAATTCATTATTAGGTTTTTGTATTCAGGAAGATCGGCAAGCATTTTAATGGCTTGTAAAAGATTTATTTAGAGAATTGAGAATTGAATTGTTTTTTTATTTGTCTAAAAATGTGGCAGGTAAAATTGTCCTTTCAAACCCGATTTGGCCGGTCATCTACTAGTGAATTTGTAAGGACATTGTGGCCATTACTTCGAGCCCTGATGTACAATGTACCTGTTTCAATTCCTCTAGACTCCGTAACCCACTGTTTGATGACATGCTGGTGTCTTTTGCCCTTTGTTTGCCCTTAGATTTTTGCTTCTTAGAAATATCAGCCTTTTCAAGGGGTCTGATAAAAACAGACACATAAAAAAATTGACTGTTAGTGGTTAGCCAATCACAAATGTTTATATTTGGATGATAAAATTATGTTGACTCATCTGATTGGTCAGTAAAACTCACCTGTCAATCTGCCTCTCGTTAGAAGGAATCTGATTGGCTGTTGTAGATACAGCAGACGTCTGATGAGGAACTGAACAATAGACCGTTTCTTTTAATTAATAAAATTATTGTGATCTTGGATTCCATTGTTTTCTGACTGACTTTAGTACATGGAACATAAAAACCTGGGTGTACACCTTTAAGAAAAACCTTCAAAGATGGTAGCCAAACAGCTCTTTTTTAGTGCTGCACTAGTTTGCAGAGGGCAAAAGTAAACCTTTAAAGGAAATTATGTACTCTGCTCAACTAAAGCAAAAGTAACCATGTTCAGCTTTCTATTAGGCTTCCATATAATGTTTCTTCCAATCTTTTATGCAAAATATCTTTATGCAATAATAATTTTACAGTGAAAAGTTGTTCAAAGAACAAAATGTAAATTTTTGGTATTGATAACTTGAATTGTGTGTTGCATTTCAGAAAGGAAAAAAAGTTGATGTTCAACCATTGCTGTATAATACGTGAAATTTTGCTGATAATTCTAGAGGAATACTCTATATTATTATATGACTTGGATAGTACGCGCGTTCTGATTGGCTCACGCGAGGGCGATATTTTGCCATCTCCGACCGATTACCATGACAACGGTCCGAAAGTCATATTCCCGAGCGCCCGTTTGTTGACATTTTTCAAGGCGCGAGATTTGATTTTTTTGAACTGAATTTGAGAATAACTATACGAGAAGCAAGCAAAGAAAAATTAAGAATGACGAGGAAGAATATTTTTCAAGCGAATTTTATTATTCTGACGAATTTAAGTTGAGGAAAACATGCATGAAAACGCCACATCCGAAGCGAAGTTCAAACTCTGAGCCAAGGAGTTGTTGTTTTGACAGTTGTTTGTAGAAAAGTAGAAGGCGAAATCACAATACGAAAAACAAGGTCTAATATAAACATTCTTGTAGTAAAGCGAAGGCGGTTRTRCAGAGSRGAAAAGGCAACAAAACACAAGTGACGAAATCTCTAAGCGATGAAAGACGAGAAGTCGCTTCGTGACTATACTAAAAAAACCCAGGTTAGAAATTCACAGCATCACTTAATGTAACTTCAAGATTTCCAAAGGTCCAGTGACGGTTCAACAAGGGAAAAKGCGTCGAAATGCTATCGCTGAAAGCGACGATGAAGATTGAAAACGATTTGATTGTAGATAAAGTAGAATATAAAGCTTTACTGACTTGTTTGTTTTCGTTGTGCTTTGACTAGATGAAAGACCCACGATTGTTGTTTTTCTACGAAATAAGTATCTTTCGAGACATTCAAATGATTGTTCTTCTGTGACATTGATAGCAATTCATTTTAGAATTGTTTTTATAACAGAAATATCTGTTTTCTGGTGTAAAAAACACACATTTTTGACAATTTGATTCCATGTGCTTTGCTTATTGCTTCAGTTGGACCAATCGATAGTGTAATCCATATTCGCGCGCTGTTTACAGTTTGCTTTTCCGATGTAGAAAAAAGTCATATAATAAAAGTGTTATTAACCTCGTTTGCTCGGTCTGTACGGAAAAATATCGGACCTCGGTCTCTAATGTACGGACCTTGGCCTACGGCCTCGGTCCGTACTGTCGAGACCTCGGTCCGATATTTTTCTGTACAGACCTCGCTCTYGGTTAATAACCCTTTAATATTACATGTATCTATTTGTTATACCTATATTTATCATTATTTATAAAATACATATATTTCTCCATTAATTACCACTAGAGAAAATAACAACTTTGAGGTTTGTCTATATAGTGTAAGTAAGAATGATAAACACTTGAAGAAAAAATCCATATCTCCACAAGCCCATGTAATATGCTCTATATACAGCATACTACACTAATAATAAGTGGATGATATCATTTGTCATTTTGGCTGAAACAACCTATCAATTTAGCTAACTATATCTTGCTTTGATTTGCTTATAATGTACATGTACCAAAACATTTCTACTCACCATTTGTACTTGGCCTAAGCTGTGCACTTGGCTTTTGATCTGTCACTGGCGCAGTATCATTTGACTGAACCTTATCCAGTCCACAGTTCTGTGATCCTTCTACACTGGGTTCTGGTATCATATGTTGTTGCTCATTACCAGTACCTGCTTCATAAGAGATAAACTGCCTGTATCTCTGCAAGTCCAGTCTGGGCTCAAAAGTGGTAGACTGCCCGTGCATGTCCTCAGGAGAGCTGTCACCCATGTCACTTTCATCGGACATTTCATTGAGTGCAGGTGTCCTCATAACGGAGTCACTCAAGGTTGATAAGTGGGTGGGTGTCTCTGGAACCTCTGCAAATGGACCAGTCTTTAACCTGTTACAGACAGACATGTATTATATGACATCATCAATGATCTACTTTGCAGCATATTTAAGGCAAGCTCAGACTTCTAAATCAAAGAACCAAGTTCAAACTTCAACCATTGTTTAAAATGAGTTTAAAAAATAATAAATATTGTCCTATATCGCTTGCTCTGAAAATGTTGTACAGTAGCTATAAAAATATATTACCTTTCAGAAGTCTCATCTGCAATATTTGGAGCTACTGTGACGTTTGGAAATCCAAGAAATTTCTTAAAAACAGAATTTAACCAGTAAATAATCATGTAGCAATAGTAACTAGAAAATGGCCAATCAACCAAAGAGTTTTTTTCTAAATATAATGCCAATGTTATTGGATGGTGGTATTGAGGGGCATTACTTTTTTCTAGCTGATTAGATGTATATATCAATGAAAACCAAGACATTTGACCATGAATGTCTACCTTGGGGTCATCACCAAATATGTCTTTTACGGCAGACATTGTCCTGTCAGTCTCAGCCAAAACCTCCTGAAACTAAATATATACATGTAAACTATATTTAACACCAATTTTTGCACTTGACACGGTGAACAATGTAATAGTTTCTTGTATTTCTTGTTAATTAATTAATCAAAATAACACATGTTAAGTTCTTACTCTCGTCATGAATTTTTGTGACGAGACTAAGAATGCCTGTGAGAGAGGCTAACTTAAAGGTTTCCTGTGATATTTTGAAAGGAAACCTTGTCTTTACATTGGAACAAGAAATATTCAACTTCTTTCACCCGTACAAAACATTTTTCACAATTTATTAATTTAACAATAGTAATAATAATTTAACTTAATTTATGTATCATTTCACTCAGGAATATACCTCGTCTTGTCCATACAAGATTTCTTGTAAGATGGCTTGTTTTCTTTTCGCATTGCCATCATCAGGTGTTTCAACAATGAAATTTTCATTTTCCTTATCAGCTGTTGTCTTCTTGAGACCAACATTCTTAGACTTGTGAACTTCATGTCTTCGTTTCTATTTCATAGAGAATTAAGCTTACATGGTTGATTTTATCAATGAAGAATACAAAAGAGAAAAGTTGGTTGTCAAGGTGACAATCCCGATCAGACCAAAATGGACCCATTAATTAAACAAACTAAGTTCAGTTCTTATAAAGTTACTAAAGTTATTAATAAGACACAAGATATCCAAGTTCCAAATAAAGCAAAGAAAAGTATATCTCACCAACTCTTCTTGGGTAGCTTTGTACACATTTAAGTYATTGACGGTGCTCTTAAAAGGAAAAAGCAACACAATCATATTAGTGAAGACCATGGCGGATTTGGGATGTTCAAAATCACAAATTTTTGATACATTTAATTGTGAAAAAGCATACTAACATCCCATTCTGGCTTCTTCTTTTTCTTCGTCGCTGGTTTATTGTGTTTCAAGGTAGTGAAGTTCGATTTCTTGGGAATATTTTTACGACGCAGAACACCCTCTCCGACAAGAAACCCTCCACGAGACGCCATCTTGGAATTTCCCGCCTTTTTTATAGGAGCCTCGATTGCATGTTCTTTGAAACAGGTAACCCAAAACCGTCTACATTATGATATACCGTAAAATAATGATCTACTCTCTATTGAACGCCTCCTATCTAATTAACGCCCCTCCTCCCCCCCCCCTCCCCCCCCCTATGCTTACAAGTTAAGTTTACAGTGTAGGCCTAAAGTGCTTCCCTTTTCTTTAGGTAGAAGTTATAAATCATAACATGCGGTACATTACATTGTTACAGTTTTATTTTAGAATAAACGCCTCTCTCTAATAAACGCCTCCTGTCTATTAAACGCCTCCCCTCGGACCATTGAAATTTAATAAACATAAACGCCACGACCGCTTTTAATTTATTTATTTATCTTGTGATTTTGGGCAACAGGAAAAAGTCAGAAAACGATTACTTATCTATCCTATTTACTGGAAAACCATTTTAGTGGAAACATCAGCTGTTGTTGTACATTTCCTGGACGTTGATGGACCGGAAAATTAACTAAAAGACATGAATCATTGTACACACTAATGGAAAACAGGAAGCATGCTTTTTTCCGAAATCGCTGTCTAATTTGTTAAAAAAGTTCTTATTTCAAGTAGTAAATACTGAAAAAGGGGAATAAATCGAAAACATCATATTTTTATCTATTAAGGGACGGCGCAAAAGTAATCGGGGGGAGGGGTTGAGAATCCAGGGGGGGGCATAATCTAATTTTATTAAAGAGGGGGCAATGTCTAAAATTAAAACTTTGATTAATTGGAAACTGAAAGATCAACGGTGTCCGATTCTGTGCTTTTTGGTCAAATACTTAGAACTGGAAAACTTCTCAAGAAAAACGCGTGCCACGATTTGCGACAACTCTTTAATTATTTACGAATAATTTCTTGCTCAGTTTGATAAGATATACATTCATTCGAAAGAAATTTGATTTTTTTTCCTCGGGCTTTATTGAAATACCCGTGACAAATTATCGTTACCAGAAAACTACTAAATAATTTTAAATGAACTCAAATACTCTTAAATAGTACCGATGTATCAAGCTGTCCAATCATCTCATTAACCCCACATTTCCTGGTGGCGTGGTTGTAAAAATTCGAGTAATTCGCAAATCTTCGTCTTCTAATTTAACTATCTTCGATGTATTGTGTGAGTCCCAGGAGTCCTAACAAGCAAAAGGAGCTTTTAGAGAGATTTTTACGACCATTTTACTTGAAGAGACCGCACTAATTAAACTGAACTGAGTGGGCCTGGTTCAAGCGCTGACTTATGAAGTTGCATGATGCAACTTGAATTGATTGCATGATTTAGAGGGAATGCGGCTTTTTCCTTAAAAAAAAAACACTGAAAGTCGTTCATTTTACTCCGAGCTTAATGGCTTCACGACAAAACAAAATTGAAAAAGGCAGCATTTGCAGAACAAGTTCTATGTAAGTGGCAATTYCACTCTATCTTAACAGAATTGAAATGAAAAGTCAGTAAATGACTCATTAAAAAAGGATACAAATAAAATAATTCAAACGACTCGAAAGTGCACTTAAATTCTTTTGTTATTTCTTCGGCTTTTCTTTCTTTTTCTTTATTAAAGACGCCCAAAATGCCTTCAGTCATACGTTTTACTGCGTCAAGTCAGAACTGCATGACACTGCCTTAAAAAACGCTTGTTTACTTCACGCGACAACCATCGAGAGATCGAAAATTCCAGACAAAAATTGCATCGGACTGCTATCTTGAACAGTAAGTTTACTCTAATCTTATTTCCAATCATCATTCTTCAAATATATAAGGAATCAATTATGTCTGGAAACTCGACAAGGTCTCCATGGATACTTCATGTCCACTGCAGAGAAAATGACAGCAAAAAATTAAAGTCTGGCCTAGCGCTGTTTCTTCTCGTTCTACTTCTTAACGGGATAGTCCTGGCCACTTTGATTCGTAAACTCCGACATCTTTCAGTCGGAAATGTAGTAATTCTCCATTTAACTGGAGCAGAATGTTTGCTGTCTTTGACAGTCGTTCCAAACTCTGTCGTCTTGTTAGTGGGTAGTCCAATCGCTACTGCCTTATGTCAATTTGTTGCCTTTTCTTTTCGAATTACGCACACTGCTACGATGTATTTTATAACAATATTGGCGATTGTTCGTTGCTACGCTGTGTTAAAACCTTATAAATATCGCGTTAACTGTGTTCCATCTAGAGTACATAAGATTTGTGCCGCCGCATGGGTTTGGGCTCTGGTTTTTGCGCTGATGCCGTATGTTGGTTTCGGGAAGTATGAATCCCATGGATCCTGTTATTGCTTATTGGACACTAAAAAATACCCGTACAGCTGGCTTTTCTATTGTATCGTAAACTATATCATACCTACAGTAGTAAATGGTGTAGCTTTTGTAAGTACAGCAAAGAAGCTCAAGATTAAAGACAATTTTACGACACCAAATTATGCATTGAATTCACTACCAGTGAAGTCAGCAAGTCCACTTAGTTTATTGCGCTCTAAGAGAAACAAGTCGGTCCTGAATGAGCCTTTTGAAATGCAAGATACTACTACAGTGGAGGTAACCGATGAACCAGCAACGATCTTTCCGGATCCATCTGGTGAAATCGAGCGAAAAAGCCCTATCGATAATAAATTGACTGTTAAAGTTAACATTGAAATAGATCCCGATAGCGCAGCGCAACAACGATATTCGACAAAGCGGAATTCCAAGCAAAACCAAAGAAAATCTGTTATTCGTATCATGCCCATGAGTGAACCACATTTGCAAAGCATCGATGATAGTAAAGTCGAAGTAGGAAAAAGTGAGTGCACTAGAAAAAACGATTGCTTCCTGGCTAGCCCATTAAGTCGTGCTTCAGATAATGACACATTTCATACTGTTTCAACACACTGTCCAGTCTGCACTGTACAAGCTAGTGGAACTTTTGAAGAGCCCAGCAAAACAAAGAAAGAACACGATATTCATTTGCTGAACATTACAAAGAAAAAAAGTGACCTAGAAAACACGACGAGAGATAATGAGAATCAAAATCCAGAAGAGCTTCGTTCAATTCCAAACCAGTTTTCTCAGCAATTCGACCACATTAAGAAACATCAAAGAAAAAAATCTGCTAAAAAGGACAAACAAGTTCTCAAGATTGCCTTATTTTTCCTTTCTTATGTACTCTTTTATGGTCCGATGGTAGTTTTTAGGAGTTGGTATGCCGTGATGCCAGAAGATGTACCAAAAACTGCTCTTGCCGCTGCACAGATCCTGCCTTCTGTCAATTCCCTCATAAATCCCTTTATATATGGATATTTAAGCGAAGAAATAAGACATGATATCAAGCAGTTGTTCCTCTACCTTTGTGGCAAATTCAGTTTGAAATAGCAATAGTTCGTTAGCTTTTGATGATTTCGAATGAGTGAGGAAAACAGTTAATCCGCGCGTCGAAAGGAGGCCAGGACTGGACTAGGCTAGTTTAATTGGACAGATTTTGAGGAAAGTGTCTTATTTGAAACAATTAATTTATTGTAAATACGTAATAAATACGTTATATAATCTTAATTTGCCATAGGACTAAAAATAATATTGTAAATCTGCGTAAGATTATCCTGAATTGACGTCGACGTTAGTGGAGTCTGGATCATTCATCACGCAGTGCATGTATTTGTGCATATTAACATTTCCTTGTTGTTCCAATAGAGACGATAGTGTTAAGCGCATATTTTTGGAAATACTGATTTTTTTTCCTAACATAGGAAAATGACCCCATCTACGACTCTTCACGTGGAAGGGAGGGGCAGGTTAAGTTAGACCGTCCGCATATTGTTCTTACATTTGTAAAGACTATTTTTGCGGAAATGTTTGTGCCGATTTTTATGTGGTCATTTTGATCCTAGTGAATAATGCTACAAAGAATTAACGTGTAAACTTTTATTCAGTAAATTAACATTAGAAGGATAAGACAAATTCCATTTTTTTTAAATTGCCCGAAATTGAATTGAAGCAAAAAATCGCCGCAAAAATCGCGAGTGTGAAATGACTTTAAAGGAATATTTGCATGTGATTGCCTGTTCAGTTTGATATGAGATATACATTTTGTTCGAAAGAAATTTGAGTTTTTTCCAGCTCCATGGAAATACATTGACAAATGATCGTTACCAGGAAACTACTAAAAGTGATTTTAAATGAACTCAAATAATCTTAAATAGTACCGATGATCAGCTGTCCAATCATTTATACATTAACCCCACATTTCCTGGTGGGATGGTTGTAAACGTTTAAAAATTTTCGTCTTCCGATTTATAATTTTCGATGTATTGTGTGAGTCCTAAAAGCAAAAGGAGCTTTTAGAGAAATTTTTACGACCATTTTACTTGAAGAGACAGTAATTAAACTGAACTGAGTGGGCCTGGTTCAAGCGCCAGCTTGATTGAGTCGCTTTCAATTCTAATTCTGAGGGCTAATGAGAATAAAAAAAACATGAAAATATAGAAGTGTAATTGACTTATGAAGTTTTTTCCATACATGATTTAAAGGGAATGCGGCTTTTTCCTTTTTCAAAACCATTGAAAGTCGTTCATTTTACTCCGAGTTTAGTTTCATGACAAAACAAAATTGAAAAAGACAGCATTCAGCCAAAAAAAACTCATTAAAAGACGGAAAATTGAAATACAATGCACACGAATACAAAGGGCATGTATTATTACCATTTCTTTCTGAGCGCCTTGGCAAAAAAGACATCCGATGTCCGTGCGTTTTAGCATTCGTTTTCCTGCGTCAAACATTTGTTTAGAACACATTGCCCCTAATAATGTAATGATGACTCTTTATACTTCGCGACCACCGTATTAAGTGAACACATCAGAGACAGTAAGGCCAGTGGTCAGTACTTTTACATAGTCTAATATCTAATCAGTATTTTCAAAATCCTAAATGTCTGGTAACTCGACCAGCTCTTCATGGACACAGGTCCACTGCAGTAAGAGGAATAACATGTCGGCCCTAGTGTCTCTTCTCGTCATCTTATTTCTTAATGGGATGCTCATGGTCCTCTTGCTCCGTAAACTCCGCCATCTCTCTGTCGGTAATGTAATAATCTTACATTTGACTGCAGGAGAATGCTTTTTGTCTTTGACATTCATTCCACAGACCATCGTCTTGCTGGTAGGTCATCCAGTCGTTACTCCTTTATGCCAATTTGCTTCTTTTTCTGCACGATTTGTCCACACCGCTACAATGTACTTCATAACAATATTGACAACAATCCGTTGCTATGGTGTATGTAAACCTTTTGAATATCGCCAAAACATTTTTCCCTCTCGAGTCCATAAGATATGCGTCTGTACGTGGTTTTGTGCGTTGGTTTTTTCGCTGATGCCATTTTTCGGCTGGGGGAAATACGAAATGAATAGACAGTGTCTTTGTTTTGTGGACACCAATAAATACCCGTACCTTTGGTTTGTTTCTTGTACTGTTAACTATATTATACCAATTGTGGTAAATTCTGTAGCTTTCGTAAGTACAGCAAAGACCCTCAACAGTAATGCGGGCAAGTTTGTGACACCAAATCGTGCATCGAATATGTCAGACTTGTCTTCGAAGTCAGCGACACACCGTTTATTGCGTTCCAAAGGAAAAAAGTCGTCCCTGAATAAAGTTTTTGAAATGCAAAATACTTGTACAGTGGAGTTAACCAACGTACGTAGAATATCTCCGGATCATTTGAGGAAAAGCGTGCATGAAAGTGCGCTCGATAATAAATTGACTATTGAAGTTGACGTTGAAATAGTTACAGGTAACGCTAAGCACCCACCGCGACAAGTAACACAGCAAAATTCTAAGCAAAACCAAAGAAAATCTGTTGTTTATATCAGACCCCGAAGTGAACCACATTTGCAAAGCATCGAAGATAGTGAACACGTCGAAGTAAGAAACAGTCAGTGCACTAGAAAAAATATAAACTTGCCAGTTAGTTCCCAGTCATCTTCAAACCAATCATATCCAACTTCAGAAAATGACACACATCATAAAACTTCAACCCACTATCCAACTAGCATTGTACAAGCTAGTGATTCGTTCGAAGAGCCCGACAAAATAAAAGAACAAGAAATTCATACGCTGAGCATTTCGAAGGAAAAAATAGAAAGCAAGGCAAATAATAACGAGAATCAAAATCTCAAAGAGCTTCGGCAATCAATTCCATTCCAGATGTCTTCCCGCCCATCCGCATCCCTCGAGATAAATGGCATCCGTCATCCCTCTAAAAATCAGAAGAAAGTTCTCAAAATTTTATTACTTTTCACATGCTACGTACTCTTCTATAGCCCGACGGCCATTGTCAATAGTTGGTATGCCGTAACGCCCGAAGCTGTACCAGAAATTGCCTTCACATTGTCGAAGATCCTGCCGTCTGTTAATTACATCATAAATCCATTTTTATATGGGTATTTAAGCGAAGAAACAAGACATGACATGAAACAGCTGTTTCTTTCTCTTTGTTGTAAATGCTTGAAATAAGAAAAGCTAATAACACCGAAAAAAACCAACGGATTCGTTCACTTGGTTCGCAGTTCCCAACAGAAATGACAGGAATAGACTACTATGTCATTTGAAACATTTTCCATATCAATTCAAATCAAAATATAATTGTTTAAGATTGCTTTCTAATCAGCACTCTTTTAACATTTTATTGAACACGACATGACTGCATTTATTTACATATGAATTACAAATTTTTAAAACAGATCGTTACTGCTATTCTTGCACATCCATGACTAAAAAGAAAAAAAAAACACTTTTTCAGGACCTTTCTAGTAAAATGCGTCATATCCGGATCGTCTTCGAGAAGTAAATCCGGATGTGACGTAGCCTGCTTGCTGTGTATAAAATTAGAACAAGATAGGAGACTTGTGAATACCGCACACTTCAACCAATCAATGCGCACGTTCTATAACACTTTACTCACCGCCGGGTATGTTTACTTTGTTTGATACAAGGACATCGGCTTGAATGGACGTCATGTTTACAAACATGTTATCAGGCTGTAGCTGATTAAGAAAAATATGTATATTAAACGCAACTATAGCACAACGTAAAATGTATATTTTGAGTCTTGAATTAGTGTTTTAGTCTCCTCGCAGCCGTTCTTAGGACAGGGAGCCCGACACTAAGAACTGCAATGCGGTCGTACTTCAGATGTTTCGTATTGGAAAGTCAGGGGACTTCAAATATCCATTCGCAATCCGTTTCCATCTATAAAATTAAATCTTACAACATCTCCATTCACAGAGCATGAAGGGTTAATCGACTCTCCAGAAAGGAATACTCTCTAAGAATTTTTGCCAGGAAAATAAAAATTTCCTCACTTAAAAAAAATAAAAACGTATTACATAAGCCTTTTTTGACCTTAAAAACGTTTGCCAGAAACAAAATTAAAGGACGCCACACTTGCTTGTGAGATTATCAACAATGTAGCTCGAAATCCCTTTCTTAGGAAAAAATTAGCACAAGAACAAACCACGTCGGCTCCTCCTGATATTACGGTGTATTTCTATTTGCAAGCATAACCAAAAGCGCGATAGGGATGCCGGTTAACGATAGTCCTTCAAGACCTGGATTTTATCCACTAAATCATGCACTCAGAACAAAGAATAACACATATAAGTTACGACGTTTCGAAGTCATCTTGACTTCATTTTCATTTGACATATTGTTTTYCTTGCTATATTGTTGTTGTAAAGAATTTGAATCTTATTAAAATGCTTGAAAATTAAGTCAAGATGACTTCGAGACGTCGTAACTTAAATGTGTTATTCTTTGTTCTGAGTACCATCACAAAATCTCTACTAATAAATAATGCACCACTGACTCATGGGATTTTCCTCTTTTTTCTATTCCTCTGGGTGTGGTTTCTATTCGACTGAGGATAGAAAACAATCCAAAGACGAAGAGAAAAGGCTTTCAGGCTGTCTTCCCACTTACCATGAATTCTTCATAGAATTTGTCTCCCAAAGCTTCTTTGACACGGTCATTGACAAGATGATAAGAACGAACAAAAAACTAAAAATAAACACAAAGTACTCTTAATTTATAGAAAAAAAACATACAATTGAATAATTTTCATCTGTCTGTGACACAATCATTCTCGTAGAATGTGACACAATTACTATTAGTAAGTAGTGTTTAATAGTAACTATTAGAGAAGGGTGTAGTAGGCTACCAAAAGGAAAAATCAAAACCTTCAAAAATCGCATATCACAAGTTAAACTATTGGGAGCTAACAGGGGGTAATAGTATTGTACAGTTCATATTTCACAGACGGATGAAAACGACTCTATCACAACCTCTATCGAGTCAATCCAATAGACATTTTCGCAGTTAAAAACAAAGCAGGCAACATGTTTGCTACAGAGCTCAAAACAACTAGAGTGCCAAGTCATGTCAAAAGTATGACTTGTTTCACCAATGAAAAATTTTTCCTGACATTGCAAAACGATAAACAAAGCTCAAAATGGATTTTCCCTCGCTCTGGTGCAAAACTATAGGTCTCTCGCACAACTTGTAAGAAGACTATTTTACATAATTGCTGTGACGTCATTGACATGTGACGTCATCACTGTCACATGATTTTCTCTTTTCTTGAAAAAATTAGAACACCCAAGAATGGCAGTACTTCATGTTATATCTACATTCTGTATTAGAGTTTTCTTTTTTCTTGAAAAAATTAGAGCACCCAAGAATGGCAGTACTTCATGCAATATGTACATTCTGTATTAGAGTTACATGTAGGTTGGGTTAATAGAGCTAGGCTTCTTATGGGGTCTTACATGAAGTACCAACCTTCCTACATAAGAGTCTACAATTGTAGATTTCAATGCTGCCCAGACTGTCATAGACTCCTCGCAGCCGTTTTCTGGCGCTGACACCAAAAAACAGCTGCGAGGAGTATAAGACTGTCATGATGTAAAATAAAGTCGAATTTTCTGACAATAAAGGTTGTTTACCTCTAATGTGATTCCTGCTTGTCTTTGACTATCGGCATAAAGAGTGTTACCCATTGCAAAAAGGAGCCCGTGGACAGCACGGAGCTATATTAAAACAACATTATTCATACAATAATATACTRGCAAACTATAAAGGCAAGTAAAAACATTACTTCAAACTCTTCCATCGATATTTTGCTTTCTTAATTTTTTTCATATTTTCGTTGGTTTAATTACTTTCAATTGATACCTGAACAAGGCTTTCAGAGATTTCTGGTGACTCCTTTGCCAGTATTCTGAAACCAAAACCATAAAAAAATTAATTATAAAAAAATAACATACACTGTATTTATGTTCATAATAATATGAACATACATGTATGTATACTTTTTTAATTACTGAGTGAAGTTCCCAAGGACTGAAAAAGAGTCATTAACCTTACCGTATTTACTCGAATAGATGCCGCGGCGTTTATTTCATTTTATACGATCCAGCTGCGACGTTTATTCGAGGGCGGCGTCTATTAAAACAACACTATATTCAGTACTACATGCCGTACTTTATATTGTATCCTTTTACTAACAAACAGCAACGATTTTCAATATATAAATGTCGTGTTCATTTTGTCTATTCAATTTATGATTTTAACCAAAATTAAACTTCTATTTCAACATCAATGTCCTTCTCAGCTGCTGAGATCAAACAAGTACACTTCGAAATAAAAAATGTTCTAAGAGAAAATAAATTCCCATTGCTGGTATCATTATTTCCTCTATTGACGCAGCAGCCAGATGCGGTGTCTATTCGCTGGCAGCGACTATTAATATTTTGAGCTTTACGTGCGGCGTCTATTTGAGGGCGGCATCTATTCGGGGGCAGCGTTTATTCGAGTAAATACGGTATATGGGACGACATGTAGTTCAATAGCAATCCTTAACACAGGAAACCCAACAACATTACCCAATCATTTTAGCAGCGGCAGCTTGTTGGACATAAACAGGAAGTGGAGCCTGGAGTTGAGGGACATCTGGATCTGATGTGATGAAAGAAAGTTCAGTCAAGTACATTAAATGAGCTATTTTTAGGCAACATTTAAAGAACTTTTGCAAATCTGCCCACAAATATGCAACATCTCTGAAAAAAGTCTGCAATTAGAAATTGTCCTATTGATGGAAAGGTACATACATGTATAAATCAATAAGTTGATAAATATCGAATGAATTGATGTGCTGCCTGTGGTCTGAATGAATAAGTGCTCAATGCAAAATAACTGAACAAAATGAGTGAATGAAACCAGAGAATAAATATACTTCAATGATAATCAACATAAAAATATTTGAAGTACATGTATGATATACACACCAGCAATGATAGAATCAGCACTTTCTTGGATTTCATCTTTCGTTGGCTTTAATAATGATACCAGTCCTTTGAGTAAGGCATTCCTGACACTGTATTTCATCAGGTCTTTGATAAGCTCACATGCTTCGTATTGTACTTCCAAGTGTAGAGACTTCAGTAGTATCAGTACTGGATCTACTATCGTTGGATTTGCTGCACCTATAACAGGCTTTGAGAATACAAAAAACAAAAATATTGATAGCAGTAGCCTTCTCCCCAGGCAACTCTTTTTTCCTCCTTTGGGCTTCCTTTGTAACTGTCATCTTGGCTGCTAGGGACTAACCCTCTTTTGCCCCCATTCTCCCTTTTTTCAACCCAAAAAGATAGGAAGCTCTGTTATAAGCCTGTGGAGGAGGCTATGATAGCAGTTGGAAAGAGGACAGGAATGATAAATGATACAAAATATATTGCACCATTGCCCACCCCATCCCTCCCCCCCAAAAAAGGATTTCAACTGCACCCCTCCCTCTTTCCACCTGGCACATTTCAGAGACACAAAAAATGGGCCAAATTGTACGCCAAGTATAGTAAGCCTTGCAAGTAATTTTGTGTCATATTGAGCCCTGAACTGAGCCCTGGCACACATTAATACTCCAGTTTCAAATTCATAGCGAAAAACCGCTGCTCTATTTGACAACAGATTCTCTTGCGTAAAGGGCTGACCAAACACAAAAGAGAGCACGAGAAAATGTTGTTAATACAATAGACTTGAAAATTTGCATTTTCCCCGGTTTGAGACTAACCCTGTATTCCCATAAGACCTAAGGTATGAGTCTTCTGGGAATACAGGGTTAGCCTCAACTCGGGTAAAATGTAAATTGTCAGCGCTATTGTACTTACAACATTTTCTCGTGCTTTCTTTTGTGTTTGTTAAGTTCTTTGCATAAGAGAATCTGCTGTCAAATAAAACAGCGGTTATTCGCTTTGAATTCGAAAATGGAGTATTATTTTGCTCGACAGGCAACAAGTGGAAATTCCATCGCAGCCACCATCATCCCACAGGACATGGAACCCAATTGGGGTAACTTGCAACAATTTATATTAGGAGTGGCACCCCTTAACTCTTTCATAGAGACGCTTGAGCCTGGATGCTTCCCTCTTTATATTTTTTAAACAAAGCAATATCATGGTAATGAAAGCTAGATGAATGTTTTTTCTAGTACCTGGATAATTCTGAGTGTCTGTGCTGCCATTTGTTGTGCTTTTGGTGAGGCAGCCTTTAGAAGTGCTATCAATGCCTTGTACACCTGAACCTCATATTTAGGGTTACCCTAGAGTATATAAGAACAATGACATACATGTAGATAATGGGAAATGTTTATGAGCATTCCTTTCAATAGCCTTCTTAAATTACGGTTCCCTGTGCCATCTTGAAAGGTAGCTGTGCCTTTACATCAAAGCGAGACAGCAGTTGAGCATGTTATGATAGATTCCTGTAAATAACATTATTGTCTGTAGGTGTCAAAGAAGGTTTCTCTCATTGTCAATGCTCAATGGTTGTCTCGCTTCGATGCAAAGGCAAGGAACTACCTGCTTTCAAGATGGCACAGGGAACCATGAAGAAGACTATTAATAATAATGAAGAATTACATTTGATAGCTGATGAAGAAGATTTCTTGCCAGGTCTTGTGTTTCTTCAGAGTTTGATTTGGCCAAACATTCAGCAACTGCTCTTATTCCTGTAAAATGCAATTAGAAAATTATACACTTTGGAAGAGATATATACAGCCTAATACTTAACAGTTCTAAGCGCCATCTTCAGAAAGGTAAAATGAAAGCCTTTGCATTAAACATAATTTAATTGTTAACTTACCAAAACTTTCACAAACCAATTCTTTATATCTACGGCCAGCACTGACCACATGCATAAGCAGTTTAAGAGCTTGAGCTTTATCTTCCTACATATTCATTAAAATATAATGAATGTATTGAAGAGCTGTTAGTAATATGCATGTATGGGATGTACACATAGCTTTAAATTTCACCTTAATTTGCTCAGTTAAATCATGTAAGACATGAGCTCACAAAGATAAACATGGTATTTTTCCTGGTTGCTCTTTCCATGGGATCGCATTCTCAATGAGTATGTGTTTAATATATCTTAAGGAATATTTGGAAATTGTTAAAGATGTCCACTTCTCCCATTCAAATTCTCTGCAGACATGTAGGATTATTAGTCTTTGTTCCTCCTTCTCTATATTCATTTGATTCAACAATAAATATGAAAAATTGTCACCTCTTTTGCTTGTTTTAGTCCCAGTATCTCTAATACAGTAAGAACGCCACCAACTTCGAGAAATTCAGCTAAAAATTTATGTCTAGAAACCAAAATTTAATGTTAGCAGAAGATCTCATACAATGTATTTGAATGATCGCCAGTTTATGCTTAATCATTAAAAAATTATTCATTCACAAAAAGAGTGTTTAATTATGCAGACTACCATCAAAACTCTTACAAACTAAGAGAGGAAACTTACCCGCTTGAAGATCCAACAAATATAGTGATGGCTTTCAGTTGTAGCTGTACATGTGTCCCCATCATATATCTAGAATATTTATCAAAGGACTAACAATGAAGAAGGTATCTGTCAAGACAGGATTGCCTGAGTGTACTGACTGAACAAGGACATCAGTATGAAATTTATTAACAACCGTTTGAGTAACGATCATTTAAATGAATTTGCGTAAAATCAAGCCCTAATTTAATTTCAAACAGCTGAATTTATGCAGTATGTATTCAAAAGATACGTTAATCTTAGCCATGCTGTAAGTCTTGTCAAAAACAAACTCGCTGCATGAGCAAACTCGAGCTCCAATTCAGGACCAGTTTTGTTTGTGTTTTCTTGTATGAATTCTTGAAGAATCTTTGCTCTTGTGCTCTTGGATCCTCTGTCCCATGTCTGTAGTAGTCGAGTGACGGCTTGTTGGTCGTTTTTCATTCTGCTTTGATCAATAAGTTAATGAAACCTGATTGAGAGTAAAATGAAACGAAAAAGAAAGATAAAAAAAATACTAGCTTTAATTTACATGTTTTACAAGCATTTCAAACCTTTAAAAGTTGTCCGTCATGAACTATGATGCTTAGGTACTGTAGATTTTACAAATTAAGTTCATTCCATGCGATCTTTTATGACAAAATGAAGACAAACTCTTTTGTATTTTTTACATTTCTCCAGCCCGCCATTTTGTTTACTATAGCAACTGCCGCTGGACGAAATGCGGGCGTATAATAAACACAGGAAGCCCGAAATGATATTTGTATTTCAGCATCCGACTTCATTCTATTTTATCTTATAAACTATGTGATTTCATTTATCTTGGTAAGTTACTTGCCCTAATAGCTCTTGGAAAGAAAGATTAGCTTKCATTTTGTACATTTGTGTGAGTTTTCTTATATTGACAGGGCTTTCTCCTTGTGTTTTCTTGTTATAGGGAGCGAACTCGATGTTTACAATGGCGTCGGGTGGTACATTGGGTTTCAAGAGTATCCCATCGGAGGATATCAGATACAAGTGCAGAAGTACTCGTCCGCTCTAGGTAACAAATCAAATCCTCTACACTGAACATTTCTCCGGATTTATTAAGTTTTGATGTATGTATATAATACGCTACACTAGGGGGTTTAAGTTTAACTGCCCCCCTAATTTGCATTTCTATCAGGTAAAACCAAGAGGAAAGAGGGGGGTAGCCCCCACCCCCTCTCTCTCCTGTTTCTATAAGTTTTAGGCCACGTCAATACGATCCAAGCACCCAGACTCTCTTCATCTTTTAATTTGAATTCCATAATGAGAAGAGCCTGGGAATGAAAGTGTGTCTACACAATCTCATTTTTCTGCAATCTCGTACCCTGAGCTTTCGTTTTCTTGGCCAGCGCCGAAAATGTAGGGGTCTACATGTTTGTCGACGGGGATGGCCAAGAAAAACGAAGGCTCATGCTAAGAGATTGATTTTTCTGTATTTCCGTACAAATCAACAAATGAAATCAACGAATGACTAGGTCTTAATTCCGTACACAGTACGATTTCTTAAAAAAATAACAGGATCTGATAACTAAGGACGCTTTTTGTTAAAGATATATGGTTATAACCAACCCATTCTATAAGCTTAATTAATAATTCTAAGTTTAAATTTATAATTCATATTTAAGAGTTATTTTGTATTTTGTAAAAATTGTATGCCTTTGGAGAGGAGTGTCCCGTGCTCAACAAGCCAAAACAAAAACAAAAAAGAAACTGAGAAAAAAGAAAATCGATAAAAAACGAGACTGAGTACCAGGCTCTCTCTAGTCTCGACTTCGAGAGATCCTGATATTCAGTCTACTTGATGTTAAATTGTACCGATACCCTTGGGAAATGATCAAATTATTGCCACCATTTTGAATTTTGGCCGAGCCCTCAAGCGTTAAAATGGAGTGTATTTGTAAAAACGGGGATGGGCACGTGACCTTAATTTTACGGGCGCCTCATAATGTAAAACACAGAAAATTATTGACAACTTTACAGTACCGAGTGCTTTCCGAGCACACGAGCGAGTATTGATTTAACTCACTTCAGATTAAGAAATACTTTCGGCAATCAATGTACTCATTATATGGACCATAACAATATCAATATAACATCCAGCGATGATGCGAATTTACAGCAAAATAATTCCTTATGAGGATATAATTACATACGACAGGGGAGGGCACGTACCCCCGCCCTAATCATTCACAAAACTCTTCAATTCACTCCGAAAGGAATCATTTTGCAGGCGTTCGTTATACGATCGTATTACTTCGAGAATGAGTTCGTTCTACTTCCGGTGCATCTCCGGAAATCAATATAACTTCGTCGTTCCGTCGATGACATTCGTCTGGACTTCTTATTCTAAGTTTATCCAGTGATTTTGAATGCGAACGATCTTTTAATATCCCTGTATGAGTACACGAAGATGCACATGGCTTCCGACTATTTATGCTCGGAACACGAAGATCATTGGCTGATCCATTATATGCAGCCGGCTTTGGCGTATCGTCAAACGTTACTATGTTATCCTTCTTGTGGTGATTGTCATTCCGTAAATTTTCTCTTGAAAGATTGGGAGATTTGCGTGGTGAATAATTAAACCTACTACACGCCGTTGGCTGTTTAACCCAAGTGTCAATATCAGGCGGCCGGTCCCATATATTAGGAGGCGGCAATTCAGGCGTTCTAGCCCGCTCATCCGATTTCCCTTCGCTTTTGATAGGCGAGGTAACTCGCTCTAAGTTTTCAGTCAAGTCAGTTTCTCTACAAGGGTTGCTTTCTGGTCCCTCTTTTGTTTCACTCGGTGAAAGTTCTTCGTTTTTTTCAGAAGTAGGCGGTGACTTCTTACATTGCTCGTGGCTTAGCGGCGATTTGATGTGTTCATCGCCTGAAGTAATATTTTCTTTACTTGAATGTGGATAATAGTTTGAAGAATTCGAAGAGGTTGATTGGTTTTTCTGTGCGCGCATTTGCTCCCTCAGCTCTTCGATCCGTGCCTGGGTGTTCTCGGTAGCACTCTCAGCATCTGTAGTATAGAAGCTTTCTCTCTCGTAACCAGACGATTCCTCGTTCCCATTAGACATTTTCTTGCATCTTTTTCTTCTCCGACTTGCCCTACGTGCAGGGGGCGTGTCTATTGGCGAAATAGCCATGCGCCGTGACACTGGCGCCGTAATCTGCAGCATAACGTCACTAATTCCTTTCAAGCCATTGGATATGTTGGACATATTTGATGTGTCCGATGTGACAATGCGGGACAACAACGGCGTTTTGTTGCTCGGTTGATTTTCGCCGTCAGAGTTTTCTGATTCCGCTTTGGAGGCCAATGACTTCATGGCAGGGATATCGATGGTGCCCTGGGCCTGACGTCGAGTGGTCCTGGATCGAGGATGTATCGACGGATTCCTCATGTGCTTGAATTCAGACATGGAGTACCGTGGTCCTCTCAACCTTGCCTCACCTTCATTGTCATCGTCATCTTCATCATCCTCATCGTCATCAATATCAGGAAGACTTGTATCAGACACCAATGCGCCCGCAGCACCAAGCAAAAGCGGCTTTTTCTTTTTCTTAGGGAGTTTCAACTGCGCCTGCGCGTGAGAATAAAATAAAGTAAAGTTGCTTCCAATGACAGAGACCGGAAGTGCTACAATAAGAACTCCTACGCACGCGCAAACTGTTCCAATCATTTTTCCGTAAGGAGACTTAGGATAAACGTCGCCATAGCCAACTGTTGTCATAGTAATTACAGCCCACCAAAAGGTTTCTGGGATACTTTGAAAGTCTGACCTGTCTTTGAACCTCTGTGAAAGGAATAGTATCACGCTCGTTAGTCGGTAAAAAGCAGAGTCGATGAAAAATCGAATAAAAAAGTGATTGCGATAATAGGCAAATATGTGCAGCGACGACATTTTGCGCAGCAAAGAATGAGCAAAAGCATAATTATATTATTTTGGGTATAGAGTTTAATAGAAAAAGAAATATGAGAAAATCTATATTTTTTAATACTGTGAATATTTCGGCCTTTATGCAAAGGCCGTCGACTGCATACTGAACTTTACATGAATATAATTCCGTGTTTCTTTTTCTAAAAGCATAATTATTAGCAAACTGCTAATTACGTTTTCGCTTAGAGCAACAAAGAGATTTTAGAGATTTGTTTAGCGGCCAGAGCATAATAGCCAGAAGGCACAGTCACTCTTAATGTGCGCGTTCTCAGACAGCATGGGTGCGCGTGTATAAATTGTCGCCGGTCAGCGGTAAAGACATAAAGACCACATAAAAATAAACATTATTATTATTTTTTTCAATCATTTACAACATCAAGGTGAACAACCTCAATAAAATGTCAGGAGTTGTAACTTGAAATCCTCAGCGAGAATCAGTTATATTAAAACCATTTTTATTCCAATCAGTGTTGTCAGTGTCTTAATGTCTTTACAACAGAACGACATTAATGGGATTAACTGTATATTCAAAGAGACTTACCGCTCTCTCAGCATAATACAGCAAAGTAGAGAATATCACCATAGGGATAGAAAGAATTAAAATTAATAGAAAAAGCTCACGAGCACTGGCTCGTAGCGTGTGTCCAATCACTTGCATTCCACTCATGGTGCGAAAAAACCGGAATAACCGGAAAATCCGGACAAGACGAAGCACGAATAGAAAGTCAATCTCTTCCACTCGTGATAATAGGCTTATATACAATGGTATAACAGACAGTAGATCAACCCATGTCATCACGCTCTTGAAGTATTCAAGTTTGTTTGGACAACAGAACAATCGTGCGATAAACTCCGTTGTAAACCATATGCAGTAAAAATACTCCAGCGCTCGAAAGATGTTTTTGTGATTTTCGGTAAATCTCATAGATTCGACGCAAAATGTTGTTACTGAGAGAACAATCACAGCCAATGACACCATAGCAAGAATCTGAAATAAAAAATAATACAATTAAAGTTTTGAAAAAGTGGAAAATGTGAAACAGGCCCGTAAAAGGCTTGCTTGTTAGACAACAATAGCACAACAATAGTTCTGTGCGCGATTTTACACTGTTTTTTTTTTATACCGTACTAGTTAGAAACCAAAAAAACGAAAAACAGTAAATGACTTAATTCAGAGGATACAGCCATTGTTTTCGTTTTCAGAGTTGGTGCGTTTGGTATAATAATAATAAAAAAACAATCATAGCAACAACAAAAAAAACAGAACATTGAATTTGTAACAAGTTCAAGTATGGTATTATTATTGAATCATTAAATAATTGCAATCCTCTCTCAATTTAACAACTTTTATTTTATATTTTTATATATTTTTGGATATGTTTTTTAAGTAGAAACCGAGAATATCGCAGCACTTTGGTGATAAGACGTCATCATTTAGAATTGATTTCTCGTGCTTATATTTTTGATATTGCTTCTCAAAATAACTAAGATAACTATTGATAATTTTGGAAATTTTGATAAAAATCTCGTTTTCTTTTGCAGCAGATTTTTCACTGTATTTTTAATTACCATAAAGGCATTAAAATGGTTCACAAGAAATGCAGGATTTTTGATTCTTAGAAAAACGTGATTCCTTGCTCGTTTAATGAACCCATTAACAGACTATTTTCACGTTGAGGTACGTGACGCGGTTCACAGAACATGCCGTGGGTATTACGTTTACGTTATTCCAATGACGTTATCGCCGTAAATTCAATACTGTTGCTCAGATGAGAAGTTAATTCTGTAATAAAGTCATTTGCAACGATCACGTTCAATGTTTCTAGAAGAACATTCAATATCTTGGCCCAAAATCACAAAACCCTGTGAAAATTATTTCTAAAACTATTCAATCTTGACTTGATCTGACCGTATGAATTTAGATATTTCCTTTCGAGAAATTTAAGAAGAGGACTCAAATGTTGATTATTTGATATTTTTTTCGCCTATGYCGCTCCTATCTTTTTCAAATTCAATTCAAGATGGCGGTCGTTTAAGTCATTCATTTGCAGCGGTTGAAGCTGGACAGATTCTATTACGAAAAAAAACATGACTGAATACATTTTAAAATTCGTTTTCTCACAATATCTTGAAATCTTGGACAGTCTTTTTCAAGTGCTCGTGAAATTCCTAAAAAGCTTCTTGAACATTTTTTTTTTTTTTGAAAAGAAAAAAGAAAAAAACATTCCACCGCAAACAAACATGAATACTAACCGACGGCTTCACAAATGGCAACATCCAATGACGTTATCAGCATGGCTTTGTTTAATATTTTTGCACGACACGTACAACTAAGCCGCCATGTTTTATCAATCACGGTCAAAATTTGTCACACTGTTCATAAAAACATATGGTCTACGATGAGCTATCTAAAAACAATGCGACAGAATAGCGCTAAACTGTAGCAGTTTGCCCGATGAGGTTATAAAAAATGGCACGGTTATGGTTACTTTGATAAAATGCATGAAATATATAAACGGTTTTTTTGTGTTGGTTTGTTTGTTTTTAAACTATTTTTCTATTAGTATATTGTCAATATCTATTTTGTATTATTATTCTTTTCTCTCTTATTGAATTATCTTTAATTCGTTTGGTAGTTTGTTGTGTCTATTAATTATTATCCACAATTAACTGTTAAAATTTTYATTACCTGAATCACACCACAGATGTGTGCGAAAACTGGGACATTTAAATCACAAAAGGTCTGTTGAAASGAATGTCTCTTTCACTTGATTAGAGTAGTTTTCACAAAACCGTGAAACAATCAAATATAAACCAAAAAGATTAAAAAAATCTTCTGTAAATTAAGATTAATAAACTGTAGCATGCTAAAATGTGTTAACGAAAACAACTCTCTGCTAAATAATACATRTTTAMTTTTGATGAATTCTATATAAGGTTGGTCGCTTTTTGACCGCTAATTAACTAARCAAGCTCATCAAATACCARCRCATCATCAATGTTTAATAGCTTTTTTTCATGATCTACAAAACATGAACCAAGTCAGCTCCCTATTCAAAACCAGGTCTCCCATGTTGACCTGCGGTCGACGGCTCAGTGGTCGTWTTTTATGACCTGGGTGCGTTGGTAGACCACAACAACCTTATAATACATCTCCTTACAAAACTGACTMAAAAAGAGATAAAGGCGGAGCGAACATTTGCATAACGTAAAGATCAAATGGAGTTTCAATTTCCGCTGATAGGGGGAAATGGGCGATCTTAGTCCGATTAGAACGTTTTGTATAGTTGCTTAATCTGAAAGCAGTACCGTATAATATAATAACGTCACATTTGCCTTGGATTTGATTTGAATACTTCAGTTTCTAGTTATCAGTATCAGGCTGCCCAGCATGTTAACTAGGTCGAGGCATTCAACAATTTGTATTCTAAAATGTGAAAGAACACATGGTGCTTTTGCGGAAAAATCACTGACGAACCGCGAGCAYGAAGAAACMATTTTAAACTAGATTTACACATAACAATATTTTGTGATATGATACGATAAGCATTAACTTCCGAAATGTCAGCAACAGTGTAATTTTTTCATTTTAGTACAACTGTTCCATTAAAAACAGCGAAGCTCATGCTAATTTAGCATTGCTTATCTCATCTTCTTGATATAATTAAAGCCTAACCAACTCAATAAAAAAATACACGTCTTAACTCAAGTTGTGCTGTCACAAAAAAAAATCGCGWCCTGGAATTGTAATTTTTGAGGATACTTTACATGGTATTTACATAAATTTACAGGGTTGACGGCGCGCGGTTTTTCCTAGTATCTAGTGGCACCTGAACGAATTCAATCTTTAGTATTCGACAATCTATTTGTCCATTAAGTACATAAGTAGTCGACGACGTGACAAAGCCTGAGGCAATTACAACGTAGTCCATTCGCGATGTAATTTGATGGTTATCAATTTTTAGACATTTTTGACGCCATATTGGATAATGTACAGCTCGAGAGTTCCGAAGGAGCAAAATTATAAACGAATATGTAACTTAATAAAACTATGTGGAAATTACTCTCTTCAGATAACGTCATCATTGCTAGTCCCGCCTTTTTTAATCCGTCTTTTTAATAATTTTTAAAAAAGCCTTGACGTTCMCTGTGTATATGAGCGAGATGAAGGGTCAGCTTGTATTGATGGACGCCTTCTGTTCCACCTGCCGCTATTTGCTACTGGTCTGTGGCCGATCCCGATTCATTGTCCTACCTCCCTAGTTACTGTTGCGACGTCGGACAAGCGAAAATAATATCATTTTGATATAGACCATGGGAAAGATACCGATTACTGCGATATGCAGGAACGTGCTTTGTGTCATATGTTTTTTTTACTTTTTCATAAAAAAAGCTACTGAATTTCGTAACAATATTCGATTTTTGTGTTTGTTGCTTGGACAGTTTCATTTCCACTGGGAAAACTGCTCATTGTATGGTGATTAATCGATGTGAAGAAGGGATCGGTGAATTGTCTGGCTTCGGTGCGAAGGAAAACCGCCTATAAGATGGCATAGATCTAGATATGCTTTGCTTGCCGAAAAAAAATCGAAAAAAAGTCATGTGCAAGTTTAGTTCCGATATCAACAAACGTTCGTGTCTTCCTGGCATAAAAACGAGATCTTGGACAATAATCAATTAAGGACAAACCATCAAATTTCAGTCATTATAGTGAAACGCGTGCGAAAAAGCACGCGAGAAATCATAACAACGTAGATATCCAGAAAAACAAATCATCAAACGCATAATGAATTGAAAGCCGAGCTGGTAAAACCAATTTGAGTGACAATTTCTTGCATTTTTTTCGGGAATTAGTACCATGAAATGCTTTCATGTTGCAATTGTTTAAAATTTTATTAGCTTTTGCCATGTAAACGTAATTGAAGTCCAAATCTTTCGTAATTATTAGCGATAACAATTACCTCTGTTCAAGGTGCAAATGTATGCGACTTTCTCCTCTCCGATGGGAAAATTTGAGATGAGTTTTTGTAGCTTTAAAACGGTAAAGTTATTTCAAACCAGGATGGATAACCAAAGACTGGTATTTATCCTTGACAGTTTGTCAGATATAAGCTAAGGAGACGTCCATTTNTTAGATATTTAGACAATTCTCATAATTTTTGCAAAAGGCTGTATCTTTTGTACTATATATATTTTCTTTGTGCAAGAGTGTTGACCCATCGTAAACTAAAACATTGTGTGATCTGACCAGGGCAAGTGCATGGCATCGATCGACAAAACCTCACCACAATTTAAAGGCACTCCTACCTTTCAAGATGGCGCAGAAAAACACGAGAAAGTGTTAAGTGCGAGCGCGATATTGCTATCGTCTCATTTCGATACAAGGGCACGGCTACCTTTCCAAATAGTATAGGGTATCTAGAGTGAAAGGCAATGCTAATTTTGTTGTCGTGTGATAATAAGCATTAACAGGGGCGGATCCAATATATATTGTGTAGATATTGTTGTACTCTGTCCCATACAGTATCATGTGGAAACGCAATTGTAAGTAGCTAACTTCATTTGAAAGATATGATTGATGATCGTGATCAAAGGATAAACTTACATTGCTAATCAAGTGAGCAAAGTAAAAACTCAAAGGAAATGGCTTTTTTTTTACTTTATTCCACAACAATGACTTAAGCTCTTATGGAGCCATTTTTCTTGACTTCCTCGGCACAGTTCACATTACTAGTCTATTAAAAGCACTCTAACATTGACCTCCTTATTTGCAATTCGATACTTAACGAAGACAAGTGATCCACATTTGAAAGCTGCAAGAAACGGAGATTGGCTGTCACTTAAAGCGAATCCTCATTTTGATGACGCCGCAAAGCGTTATGATCTGAGTAACCAATTTTGATCGGAATGAACTAAAGTCATTTAGAATGAAAGACGAAGAGCATCTGGTCGCMGTCCGAATTTATACTTATCTCTAGGGTAGACGTTTACAGCTCTCTAGAAGAGAGAACTTGACATCGATGTAAGTATCTAGTTCTTCACTGTATGTTGTGATTAGAATCACCATCTGGTRTGGRTACAMTTAGCGGGAAATATATGACGAATTCCGCTAGCATTGAGCGTTTTTACGKCCATTCAATTAACCAAAAAGCACTGAGGAGTCGAGGAATCGTTATGATCATTCGCTATTGTTGTCAAAATGTRTTTGATGATGATGATTATCATTATTATCTAAATTCATTTGGGTGTGTTTGATATGCATTCAGTTTCATTTTTTCAGTTTCATTTTCTTTTCTTTTTTTTGATTAAATAGATTGGTCGCTATCGTTACTAGATTTCTTAGTCAAGAACTCATGAATATTTTATAGCAACTATCCCATCTATAAGATATTATGGATTTCATGGATACCTTTAAAGGAATAGTCTCCACATATTACACCTATTTCAAAAATGGTTGTGAAATGACATAGCGAATGGCATTTACCGAACGTAGATTGTTCGACCGAAAGGAGCCGTGGGTTTGTTAATGGATGGAAAACATATGACACCCTTCACCCCACGACAACGTTTTTGAAAAATGTATATATTCTCACAACTTTTAAGTTGATATTAAGATATCATTATGTGTTTGGTTACATCAAATTTTAGTAAAAATTCTGTGAAGAGCCAGTAATCACATAGTAATTTGCATAAAAGAAATTATTTTTTTGAAGAATTTTTTTTTAGTTAATAATATTCAATCTAATATCATTAGCATCGGAATATGTTGCATAATATTTGAATTTTTWAAAGTTATTCAAAAACCCTGTAGATGCTTCAGTCGCCATGCCAATAGTTTTAGTCATAAAATAATGATAAATATGGCAACAAGATTCACGGATAATATTGAAAAATTGCATTTTATGTTGGAAGGATATGAATATCTGGAATATACTTCGAATATTCGGGTGCTCCCGGTATTTCCACGTCAATATGAGAGCATATTAGTCATGGAGGCATCATTTATAAACTACAGCTTTCACATATCMCACTCATATCAAAGAATTGTATGTCATTCGTGCGGGTTCCCTGTGCTTTTWAGTTTTGGGCTTCCTTTTTTTAATCCATGCCATATATGGAAACAAACAAAATGGCCGATTGTTGAGAAGTGTTTTCGHTATAATATCTGCAAGTTTCAGACGATTTCAAGCTTTTAAAGTCGAGAAAATCGACAAAAACCATTCCTATCGTWCTTCCAAATAAGGCGGCTGCTAAACGAAGGACAACTTTTGTGGGGCAATTCTTTGATATGTATATTTTAATTCTTATCACACTTTTATCTAGTATTCAATTTGTATTTTTTTTTTTTAAACTTTTTTTTTTTCAATCTAGGAATTGTATTGACGAAATGATTCGCAAGCAGCCCATTACCAGCTGWTTGACAAATAATTAGTTTAAAGAAAATTGGGATCCCTGTGTGATATTTTTCGCCATCTTTTATTTGGTTTCYCACAATTCTTTTCGACCATTGTACCTCTTTGAGAGAATACGAACGAGTGAGCGACTGTGACTAGCGAAACTTAGTTGAAAACGCAATTGYATTGAAAATTAGAAACGATTACTTTTTAAATTGTGATTCCTGTGTTTTTCTGCCTTCATCGATTTCTGCTCCCAGAATCAAAACGAGTAAGCGATTTTTTGGCTCGGTTGTTGAGGATAAGACTGTGGAGGGGTGGGTGGGGGGSATACTTTACTGTATGTTTTGTGTGTCTTTCTCTGAATTGTATGCAGATATCATCATACCCTGATGCATGCTTCAAAAGATCTGAATGTGGTACTTAAGTGCCTTCAATTTTTTCCTCGTGTAATTTGCCAGTTCGTAAAAARCCGGTTATTTTAGTGTTCAGTCTCCGCGGGGTATTTTCCACATAGGTATCCCAAAACTACACTTAAACTTCCTCATCACACAAACAACGCCTGCCAGGCACACTGCTTTAGAACGTAATCAGTCTAAAYGATTTTACTTTTTATACAATTCAATAGGCACTATTATCTGCTGGCAATTCTTTTTATTATATTGAATTCAACACTGAACATTATATCTATTTACACGCGTTGAAAGAGGTTTTACAGACTCAATACAAACAATATTGTTTGTCTTTAAGGTTTTTCTATCTGATCCTACTAAATTCTTATAGTATTATCTTAATTTTATCTTTTTTTTATGTTTCTAACTGTTTTAGGAAAATTACTATTTTCAATTTTATCAGAGACWTTTCACATGATATTTTGTTGGATTTCAGAAAAATTAAAATAATTTATATAATTTCAGCGCATATCAAAGAATTGTATATCATTCGTGGGGGTTCCCTGTGCTTTTTATTTTTGTGCTTCCTTTTTTTAATCCATGCCATATATGGAAGCAAACAAAATGGCGGATTGTTTAGAAGTGTTTTCGCTATAATATCTGCAAGTTTCAGACGATTTCAAGCTTTAAAAGTCGAGAAAGTCGACAAAAACCATTCCTATCGAACTTCCAAATAAGGTAAGATTACCATATATATGGCTGCTAAACGAAGGACAAACTTTGTGGGGCAATTCTTTGATATGGAAATTTAAAAGTTGATCTGAAATCCAATATGGCCACACTTCATTGTTATAGAGCAAGGCCGAGTTTAATGAAAGCAATAGGTATAAACATTCTTATAAGAGAACTGGATTTACTAGCTTGCCATCTTGAAATGTAACAATGCCGTTGCTGAAAGTACCACGACTGGTGAGCATGCGTACAATGATAGATAACTTTGAGTAATTTCCTTTAGTTTGTATAAACATTCTGATAAATTAARATTCATTTATTCTTCTTGGCTCAATCGTATGTTTAAATAGGTGTTTTCATCATTGCACGCTTACCAATAGTCCTTCTCACGGTTCCCTGCGCCATTTTGAAAAGTAACCGTGCCCTTGTATCAAAACGAGGCGAACGTTGAGCGTTCAATGATAGATATGGACTAATTTTCTGTTTTGCACACTCAACTGTCGCCTTCAGCTTCGATGCAAAGTCACGGCTACCTTTCATAATGGCCTAGAGAACCGTTTTCGATTCAAAGGCACGCTACTTTTCAATATGGCGCGGGTAGCTAGGCAGAAGACTATTCGTATATGTAATAGCATAGTCGAACCTGCCAGAAAACTTAGTTGAATTTATAGACAATTTTATTATGCATGTTTGAAAAAAAAACATTTTTTTCCAAATCAAATCTTCACTCTCAAACAGATATACACTTTTGTATTACCAACACGGCCGCCATTTTGAATCGTGAAAAAATAATAGGATGTCAAGTTATATCGTTATATCGAAAGGTGTCAAAAAGTACTCATCTCCCTCGAACATAGTTTCTTACCAAGAAGAATAGAATTCAAAATGGCGGCCATATTGGCGATAAAGTTTGCACTGCAGCCCWTTGAACCAGTTAAGCGCTTCAATTCTCGAAAAAATATTTTTTACACTGTAAAAAAGCTAGCATTGGCTATACCCATGTCAACGATTTTGGCTTAAAATTCGGTAACATTGAATAGCAAGCGATAGAAGTAATCTTAAATCTAAAGTCCTCATTGCCTTAATCCACSATTTGTGTAGCCGTTTTGTGTCAGAATTTTAACCTTGATCTTTGATGAGATCAATGGCAGAATTCGACAAGCATATTTAGGATAAGATCCTTATCTGCTAAGCCTATTTAAGCACTTATATACAAACTATCAAACTTAATTTACAAAATTCAATCTTGTCGATTTTTATAGCGTTCGTTTTCYTTATTTCTACTAGTAAATTGCATTTCTTCATACGCATGTAAGGTATTAGCAAAAACCGCTGACAAAATCTATTTCTCTCTATATTTACAAAATAATTTCTTGTTTTTTTTTTTCATTTTATTTTTTTTATCTGTTCTGAACGGATCTCTTTTCAAATAATGGAATCTTGAATGATTATGTTAGGTAGCTCTTCGTGTTTTGTTTGCGTCGATAGCCGTTAGCTCTTCGTTAATTCTGACGAAATTCCATTTATAATACATTCATCCAAAGAAAACTTAAGTGTTTTCTGCGTAAACATTTGTATGATGTATGAGGGCATTTTATCAACCAACAAACGATCAATATTTATAAGAATGAATCTGTAAAAATTCTATGGAAAACATAATTAGCCTCACACACGCACTTCTCACTGATCAACACACACGACCTGGAGCTAGCATGGTATTCATCGTTGGCGCAGCTTGTCCTTCCTTGCAAGAACTTGTCACCTTTTTCCGTGGCAGTTTTCATGAGACGGAGGGGGGGAGGGGGGGAGCATTCTGTTGTTGGTCACGTGCGAGTAGTAAGATGACTTCATTCATTTTCAAAGCGTTTGCACCCATTGTTTTCAAACCTCTTTTAAGGCCCGCGCGACCATTGCCTGAGCTTGCTTGAAATTCAGCTGCATCTTTGCGGCGATTGGCTGTTTACACGATTTGAGTTGTGCGATAGCAAAGTGGCGATTATCGCGCAACAAAAATCGCAAGTGTCAACGAACCTCTAGAAAGACGAATCTAAGTGAATATGAATCTATTTCTACTGATACTTGGGCTGTACGAAAGGCGAATAAACAGCGCTGTCCATCTCAAAAAATCCTTATCCAGTGGATAGAATCTGTACAAAATCTATAGCGAGRATAGTTTTATTCACCCTTCAATTACAACCCAGTTCTGAGGCTCGTACAAAAATAACAATTGAATTGACATCGACATGGTTCTCCGCGGGAAAAGGCTTACTCAACCCCGTTATATCGCGACCAGAAGCCCGTCCGTCTCACAAAAACTGCCATATACGTCGTTACCTCTTGCCTCGTTGATAGCGATCTGGCTTACTACCTTTATCATCTTTCTTTCGTGTCTCTTCACTCACCGGAGAGGTCGGACGCTCCGGTGGGGGTAGTATTGGTATATTTTGCGACGATTCATCCATTGGTTCCTCTTTTAATTCTTCTACAAAAGCGTCATTTACGCTGCCAGTTTCTTGCGTTAGCGTAGTTACAGTTAGCGTAGGTTTGACAAACCGTACGGAATGTTTTACGGATCTTTTCACGGGCGTCCCCGGTCTTTGAAAACCGTTCGTTTTATCCTTCTTTTCGTTCCCTTCAACTTTAGCGACAGCCCGATCGATATCGTCGAGACCAAACTCATCGACCTCATTGTGCACTATCCTAGTGTCTCCAAAGTCAGGACAAGACATGTCGAGGATATTCTCGGAAATATCTGACTGACTGACTGTCAACATGTTCCCAAAGTGTGGTGGGCTTTTCGGTGGAGTGTCGATGGTTGTGGTCTGGGTACTAGTGTAACTTTTCTTTCTGTGTTCTGGAGGTGAAGTCTCATCTTCACCGATGTCTTCATTGCTTCTTGCTCGAGTTGGTAGTGACATTCTAGGCACCACTCCTCCCGCGTATAARGATGATCGAGCTCTTCGTGCCCTGGTAAAGATATAAAACAGATAATGTGTCATTAGGATATAAAATGTTGATTCAGTGAATAAGAAAAACTTGCCTCCGTATGTTGTGAGGTGGATGTGAKCCGTCCGCYGATCCGTTCATCCCTTCGTGAGGTTTATCAGACTCGATTGGAATTTCCTCCACACTGATTTCATCACTTCTCCTTGCTGACGGCATCATCAACGCATTTGCAGCACCTATCAAAGTCTTTTGRCTCTTCTTGGGWAGTTTCATCTTTGCCTGAGCATGAGAATAATACAAGGAGAAGTTGTTTCCAATGATTGATATAGGAAGAGCTGTGATAATTATCGACGCAAGAGCACAAAAACTTGCAAAGAACTTTCCCGGAAAAGTAACTGGAGAGCTATCTCCATATCCAACGGTTGTAATAGTAATAATKGCCCACCATAACCCATCTGGAATCGACTGGAATTCTTTCTTGTTTACTTCCCTTTCGCATATGTAGGCAATGGTTGCGAATATTACAACTGGAATYAATACCAACARAACCAGAAGCAACAGCTCGCGGCTGCTAGCAATCATGGTTTGTTTAAGAATAAGGAATCCAAGATTAACTTTGAAGAACCTGAAAAGCCTAAAGAGTCGTACGGCAGCAAGTATGTCGTATTCTAGCGAAGGATTCTTATCAGCAGGGTATTCCTTTGGATTTTGAATGATGCGTAAGAACACTGGGAGTATAGCGAAGAGATCAATCCAGTTCATTGGTTCTTTAAAGAAGTTTTTCTTGCTTGGACAGACGACCAGTCTTAAGACGAATTCAATTGTGAACCAGACACTGCAGATTGTTTCAAGAACAGTCAAGGAAACTCTTGCATCTTCTTTTGCTTGAATACTTGGTAGCGTTTGCAATATATAGGCTATGACAGATATGATAATGAATCCAAGAGACAAGGCGAAGATGGTCTAAATTGAATATGAAAAAAGGGAAAACATCAATGACAACAGTCTAAATGCCTTTGCTCTAATCTACTGATATAATCAACATGCAACTTTTAATTTTGAGAAAAATAGAGTTGTTGTTATTGCTGTTGTTGTTCTTATTGTTGTTGTGTTCTTATTGTTTCTGTGTTGTTGTTATTTTTATTGTTGTTCTTATTGTTGTTGCTGTTGTTATTGCTTCTGCTGYTGTTGTTCTTATTGTTTCTGCTGTTGTTGTTGTTGCTGTTTTTTGTTATTGTTGTTGCTGTTGTTATTGTTGTGGTTGTTGTAGTTTCTGTTACTGCTGCTGTTGTTGCTGTTGTTGTTGTTGTTGTTGTTGTAGCTGTTTTTGTAGCTGTTACTGTTGCTGATGCTGCTGTTGTTGTTGTTGTTGTTGTTGCCCGGCTGCAATTTCCAGCCCAAATGCACAATATTATTTGTACTTTATAATGCCTGTCCTTGAATTTATAATTTATCGCAGAGCTATGCCGTGAAGAGGCATTGAATGGCTATCTATCTTTATGTCATGTTAATGTTTTTCTCCAGACTTTTGTCTATAGACATTATATCAATATAATATATTAGGTTAACACTGGACACAGCAAGTATTGATCTTTCAGCATAATCAGTATACACCCTATTTCATAAAACATGGTCGGGTAGAACGACGAACGGCGATTGTCGAAGAGAGATTGTTTGACCAAAAGGGACTATGGTTATCCTTTTTGACAAACAAAATCTAACTTGTTGGATTCAGCTTGCATATAGAATTTGGGATACTAAACGGAGCTAATATTGACAACAGATCGTTTATATTATTCAAAAAATATTGTTCTTATCATTAAGATTAATCATCATCATAATTTATTCCAGCATAATTATCATTATCATCGTCATTATCATCAATTCCATTATAATTATCATTATCATTGTCATCGTGGTAATACTTTACCCTGTGATTACTCGGAAAGAAACCTTTGCCTGTGGATCGTCTATAATATCATGTTATCGTATCATCTGSTTGCCTGATTAAACCTAATAACAGACACCTGTTTACTCCTCCTATTGGCTGTTTATTATCATTTTTTTATTGAAAAGTCCTTATCGAGCTTTAACTGATATCGTTTAGAAAAAAAAAATCCGATTCAGAAAAAGAAAAAAGAAAAATGACATTTTCATCTTAAACACATCCAATCCTTATGAAAATAAGAGCTGTTTAGACTTTAGTTTTAAGTTCGGTCAAAACTCAACAATCACTGAATTCATGTTTCATTTTCTGACAGTTTTGATATGATAACAGATACTATTTTTACATGAATTATGTAGGGTTGTACTTTGTGTATAAGTATGGTGAATTTAATAGTCAATGATATGTTCCTATCAATACTGGAAGTTTTATCTTACCAAAATACGAAAGAAAACTACCTCATCAATTTTATTGTACTTATTGACGCTATTCAATTGGGTCTTTTTTCCATGCATTGCATAAAACATTTCTCTATAGCTTGGCAACCTAATATCTAATATCGCCTATTCCTGATTCCTGATTTGTTGATCGATTAATTCGATTTTTTATTTGTTTAGCATAATATCACGTAGTTCTATTATATCAGAAATGTGTACATCGCTACTTCAAAGTAAGAATTCCGTCTTTAATTATAAGTGAATGCAGTTGTACACCCAAATCAAGCATACAGGTCCCACTTGGTTGGCGAACGGCTGTCAAATAATCCATATTTGATAATGTACTATTCCAGTAAACAAAACAGTTTGTTGTTTCAGAATAAAATAAATAAATAAAGTTCTTTTATTATGAGAGGGTAGTACGTAATAGTCTCTAGACTAATAAACTTGTGGCCCTCTATATATTCACTCAYACTCACTACCTCRACATTCATTATTTTACCACACGACACTCCTCACAGCTAGTTTTTGACTGAGGGAGGAAAACCAGCGGACCTGGAGAAAAACCCTCGGAGCAAGGAAAAGAACCAGCCTACAAACTCAAATCACATATAGTCAGATGTTATTATATTGACTGTTTTGTACGGCCCTGAGGCATATTTATAATAGTTCAAATTGAAAACTAAGTTTGAGTAAAAAAAATACATAATTGGCATTACTTACATTACTTACATTTTGAAAAAAATCCCCCCGCACTCTTCACATAAGAGCCATTTCAGGCTAAAATCTATGTTCTTCATTTCCAACTCATTTTCTTAGAAACAGCAACATACAGGTTTCCTAGCGCTATTTTGTATTTATATATATAATCAATGCAAACAGTATATATTAACTGAATTTTAAAAGTTTTTTGTACTGATTCGGGCTACTAATCTACATTCTCGAGAAAAGCGGGACTTTTATTTACGTGGCATGTACATCTAATTGCTACCAGTTTTTAAGCAACATAACATACATATATCATATATACATGTGTGGATATTGTATTGTCTTGTTTTCAAGACTAGAYAACMATGAATTGGTGTGTTACTGTTTGTTAGCTCGGCGATAAAAGTAAAAAAAACTGACATCTTTGGTCTTTGGTCACTTCTTCAGAGGAATTTTTACAATAACCGGAAAAGTGAGCAAAGGAAGGCAAAACTGAAAAGAGATATTTGTTGAAAAGATACGGAACTTAACATAGCCTTTATTTTTTTCCAATTTTCGCTTGTTTCTCGGAGTTTTCTAAAGCAATCTTGCTAATCTAGGTTGTGAAAACGGTCCCGAGCAAGATGTTGGTATTTGTATGAAGCGACAAATAGCTTGGGCACTGTTCAAAACCATGTGCCATGCAAATGTCTCTCTCTTCATCCCATTCAGCGAAAATTAACATTCCCAATGATACAACGAATCCCTCATGTGCGAACTTAGATAGAACTTAGATGAAAGAGCAAGCAGAAACAGAAGAATTTTTTCAGGAATTTTAGTGAAAGATTTGGTATATAAAACAAGATATTGTATTGGTAAAGAATTACAACTGGCTTTTCATCGGACGTCGAGTAAATAAATATTCATATAGAGTTTGTAAAGCTGCTGAACATTCTAGATATATCGCAGTTTTCTCATTGATCCAGTTTCTTTTTGTCATTGTTAAGTGTATTTTATCTTCAAAAATCATCAATCGTTATTATTCYAACATTCTTATATCTTTCAAGAAATGTTTGATCTTCGTTTAGGTCGATTGCTCAAMGTTCAGAGTCGGAAWTTTCGCGGTTGRTCGTCGTGTTATTTCTTGTTCAGCTGTGCTGTGTACTACTCGAGGAGTTGCTATGGGAACACCGCCACAGTCCATGAACACAGATGAACGTTTCGCATACATTTTACATACGTTGGCGAAAGTATGAATATTGATTCAAAATCTTCATCGATAAAACTTTACTATTAATTTCTCTTAGTTCAATAATTTTGTAACTGTTTTATAGTAGCRAGAGGTACTCTATTTCACAGACAATGCCCTTTAATTTTGAAGAGATCTTCTCGTAAAGATAAGATAGCTGAAGCGCCTAACTAAAATAATCTTGTCTTCAATATTACCGAATTCAAAAATAGTAAAGCTTTATGTCACTGAGTGGACTACTTTAGGAAGTAGCTCGCTGTCAGGGTAAGTATATGGTAAATGCAAAGTTTTTTCGGTCTATTGCTCTCCACACGCAATTACTTTGTTATTATTTTAGCTTCAAAGGACGAAGGGGAAGTTCTCTCAGTTGGTAGAAAAACACTAAAATTCACTCCAATTATGATGCAAGACTGACACAGTATTCATTAACACGTCTCTTCTTGATACCTTGCCAGWGAAACTAAATAATATTCATATTCAAAAACTGGTTGTTAATGTTACTAATTGAAGTTCGCTTTTTGGTGCTAAAGCTTACTCTAACGCCGGGAAAGCACATTCATAAATTAGTATGCGGCACAATTAAGTGACTTTGTCTCTTAAAACCCTTCATGCAGCTCAATTATCGCCGCWGTTCGTACTTTCAAACGATAGCCGTGCCGTTACGACACAATTTGATGCGATGTAACACTTAAACTTTCCAATGGCTAACACATTAACTCTTTAATAATTCAGTTTTTCACTTTATACTCRGCGGAAAAGAAAGAAAAATAATGGCATTTTAAAGTTCTAGTCATGGAGTTTGTAGTCCACAAGCGGTTTTGTAAACAAGACTTTCAAATCTATCAAAATATAGGTTGCTAACAGAAGACACAAGCCCCATAGCATCTGTAACAGGAATAATTATATTTAATTAAAAACGGCGCTTTCAGAAAAGCATCYGAAGTTTTTTGAGAGGAGAAGATTTATCTATAGATATTACAAGACGAAAACGATTTGYTCAAATGTCTCCGATAAGCAATAAATTAAGGGTTAGCATGTGAAGATCCGCGKAAAAACCAGCTACCATTGTGATTATTATTCTAAGAATTATAAGTCCCWAAAGAATTATATCCATTAGCTAAAGTAGCTTGATCCAAAGTGTTTCCATTTTTGATCTAACTAGTCTACGAAAGGGTATCTAAGAGGAATTACCAAAACAACAGTTTTATAACAGTGTGTTTAGCATTAATAATAACAGTTCKGCCAGCTATTCAGATAACGTTGGCCATTGTAACTRGTTTGCGATCGATAATAATTTTCTACACTTAAAAATGTCCTCCGGACAAATCAAGATTGTCTGTTTTGCTATTTTAACTCTTAGCTCTAATCCATATTCTATGTTTTGATATGACTATATTTTATGCGCTAAATATACATATTTGTGTTTCAAACCGATCCGCGAGTTAATATTCTCTTTAGAGGATAGCTACATAACCCTCAGAACGTAAAGGAATATATAGGCAAAGCATGTTGGTTTTTCCTGGCTCTAAGTCGGCTTATAAACGTCATCAAATAACTTAACCAACTAAATAATCCTACCTTCGCCATCTTGGAYGACCGATGATTTTCAAACATGTTCCAAATCTGCACTTTGTATGTTTGCCATTTTGATGAATGYTCTTGTGTCCAGCCGCCAGAATTCCCTAATTCATCATCGCTCTCATTATCGCTTGCGTCGATTCCTTCAAAAGCTTTTAAACTTTCTTGGGCCTCTCTGTGCTGAGTATAGAAGGACCAACAGCAAGGTTCCATCTGTTTCTCGTCTATTCCCCAATACATCAGTTCGTCCTGGAATAGCGGGCCGCAAACATCATGAGGAGCATGCAGCTTYCCTGTTCTGTAGAAGTTTAAAATTTGAGCAAAAACCCCGGGATGTCGGTCAAAGAAAAATTCCTTCTTTTCTGGGTCGTAATCGCGGTTATTGGCTTTGTTTTCCACAGACCAAGTCAGCCGAGTCTCGGGAAAATTCTGTAGTGTACGTAGAAACGTTTCATGTCGCACTCCACCGCAATTCAATATCACTCTGTCCTGACCGTCGTCATCTACTCCTGCCATCTTCCCGACTCCTTTGACGAGAGTACAACTACATGACTCTCAAACCATAAAGAGAGAAATTGGTTGCATGTCAGTGGTCACTTCGTTTTTTCATTTTCACCGTAATACACCGACTTCTTTTGCAAACAAACCAAACGGTCCTTATCGATACCGATCCAAACGAACTTCGTTAAAACTGACCTGAAATGGTCTTTGTGTATTAAAATGTGGGACTTCCGAAGTCTAGGTTAGTCGGTCGTGTCTGGCCGGTTATCCGCAAGGCGAGTTATAGTATAATACGAAGGTTGTTTTCTGGTTGCTGGGGAATCGAGGCTAGCTTAGTGATGGCCTAACCATTTGTCTTGAAAGCTYTCCTCTCGCACCTGTCACCATCCATATGCATGATGTAATACATCTATAATCATATTCATGAGTTTCAACTTTTCTAGGCTAAGTCATGGAAATTACATTAAACTTTGAATTAGTATCTAGAAACAACTGTCAAACCCTCCGCCAATCASAAAAGGTGACTGCCGTGAGGCCGTTCTTCCCGAGCGGTGCTAATYTTCATTGGTTATAACCAAAAGTAGTTCAACGAATGTTTGAATGTTAATTTTGTCCAAAGCCTATCGCGGAAATGTAAATTCACACAAATGTTTGCACAGTGAGACAAATTTCATGTGTGTTAAAAACAAATCGATTCAAACACATGATAATCTGGCTTGACTACCATCAAACCGAAATACTCAACACAGTCACCAATTGTGACTTTTTCATAATACCCATGGAACGTTATAATCTTAACTCAATATTTCATCTTTAAATTGTTTTCTATGTGTAATCATTCTCCGGACTGTTCATTTTCAAACAATTTTAATTTGTTTTGGTTTGGTTATTTTTTCATTTTAATTTAAAGCTACCCTGCTTCGTAAGATCATAACCCTTTCACTTGTATTATTTTTGTCTCAGGACAAAAAGAGATTAAGTGAAGGATTATGGGAGGTCCAGTCTTTCAAGTGGATAATATTGACCTTCGATTCGAATAGAAACATAGTCAACGATCAACAAATAAACTAGAAGAAACATGAAGTTACCATGGCGATTCGTCGTTGGTTGCGTTGACTTCAAACGTGACCACAGGAGACGCATTATAAATGATAGAAAACCAGGTCTACAAATGAAATTCACTTAGGATGAAATCTAATGATGAAATTCATGTAATAGTTTATGAATATTCAGTAGGAATTATAATTTTACGCACAATTAACTTGAATTTTATCCACTATTGCATCTCTTATCATTTCTGATCAGAAATAACTGGAGGAAAGGCTGTTACAACCGGTACTGCTTTCATTTCCTTGCCTTTTGTATACCTAAGTATTCACTTTGATTACATTGTCGGATACTCCAAACGTTTACATCAAAAGTTCATTATCATACTGCAAGTACGTCATCTCTTGTTAGTTGGGGCTGTAAACACTCTAAGGCTTTTCTTCAGGGCCTTGTCAATACTAATGCCTTMTTGTAGTGTTTTTACTGCTTTGCGTCGTTAGTACGAATGTGAAAAATAATACAAAAACACTGCGAAATGTATRTGTGTTATTAAATTCGGGTCCACGTGTACGTGCTATACTACTCAGATATGAAGCACATAGATTGATACATATATCGTACGACAGGTAGATGAACAGACGGAATAAATTGTATAAGATAGACAGCCGGTCAAGTCTTAACGTGAACTAGGCTAGACCTACAATAAAATATTTAAATGACACAGTATTTGCTATTCAGGAAGATTAAATCAACCAATTAGAGGGAATGAGTCCTATTATTCGATAATTGTCAATATTTGTGTTTATCAAACCGCATTACCCAACACGGACGCCATCTTGAATCGTGCCGAAATTACAAGATAAGGCAAAAAGAACAAACCCATATTTAAAACTGGATGAAATATTCTTTCTCCGTGGGTTATCTTTAATTATTTACAACATTTGGGTTATTGTTTCCAAGCATCCAATTTGCAGTTTGTTATTGGGTGTTTTTTATTATTATTTAATGTCAAAACATTTGGTAAGCATCCCATAATTTTTAACTAACTCAAGATGGAGACCAGATTGTATTGCAAACAAGATGAATTATTCCTTGCATACTCGACTCTATTCAAAGTGCATGGTTCAAAGCGGAAGAAAAAAGCTRATGAATGTCAAAATTCAGCCGTCAAAATTCGCATATTTCTTAAATGATAGTTGTCTAATTAGAAATATTTGCGGCGACAAACGCGTGGCGGCTTACAAAGTTATGGATTATTAGTTTACATTCATTTTGAAATGGTTGTCATCACTCTTTAAGCCTCGCATTATGATATAGATCATTAAGATCCTATTATGTTTATTCTGACTTCCTATAGTCGTTTGTCTTAGCGCTGTCGTCAAACTATCGCCGGATACCGAATTTGAAACACAACCTTATTTACCGGACAGGCCTTCCGACAATATACAAACCACCTGCTCGAGCAAGGCACATTTTTCAATTAAAATCGAGATGAATTGAAAAAAAATTAAAATATTATTATAATATTATATTAAAAATTAAAATGTTGATTAGTTTTCATACAAAAATAAGTGTGGAAGTCTAATTGCAAAGGCAATCCGAATGAATGCTCGCCAAATGCTCGGCAAATGGCAATTATAATGTGTAAGAGAGCAATCTTGAATTCGCTGGGATGAACACGGAACATTGGCTTCATTTCGAGGCTTGAGTTTTCGACAAAAGATAAAACCCCAGCCTCGGAATGAAGCCATTGTTTCGTGTTCATTCAAGCGAATGCGGGATTGGTCTATTAGACAAGTACAAAGGAACAAATGTTAAGATCGTTCTCTTGATCCAAATGCAATGCATCAATTTCGCATTACTTTGTAAAAGGCGTTGCTTCCTAAATTGTTGTTAACTTAGCCCTCTGGCTCTGCCTGCTCGTTTTTTTTTTTTTTTTTTTTTTTTTTTTTTTTTTTTTGATACAAGCACTTTATTCTGTGAATTTAATAGGAAAAAAATAATAAAAAAAAAAAAAAACAGTTTCAGTTTGTTCCCCGCCGAACGGTTCCAGGGACTGGGCAAGAGCAAAAGCTAACAGAGTACTTAGAGGGACTGAATATAAACCTGAAGTTTATGAATATGGATAATATCACTAAGACTGAAACTGTCACTGATTTTTTTGCAAGTACAACACTAGATTCTATGAATTTGAATTATATTTTTTCAAGGATTTGCCTTTTTTGTCGATGACGCACTTTTGATATTGCGCTTGGCTGACTGACCACACACAAAATAATTATAGTCGAGGCTCAGGGGAACAATAGATAATCCTTTGCCTCCTTGCGCCTCAGCGTTTTGATCTCCTTTGTGCGTATTGAACAATTGTTGCCGCGTGTGCTAGATGATTCAACACAGAACCTGACCGAAAAGATGCATGGAAAACACTAATGAAAACTAGATCTCATACGAATTTTCTTGTTTTATCGAGTCCAAATACTGAAACACAGCTTGAGAATTCCAATATTCTATGGGATTCCTGTGTCGATGCAGTATTAGGCATTCTGAGTATTGCAGGCGCAATACAATGTTTTAAAGATGGCGGATGTTTGAATTCCAAGAAACTGCTAGCAACGTAATTTTAATGATGTTTAAACTGGTTGTAAAATACTCTGGTAAGTTATCTGATTTATTAGTTTGAATCTTAATACAACRTCGATCCCAACAGGGAGGTAAGGATGTGATCTGGGTTGTTGTTTTTTTCCTCCCTTTTTGACTCTTAGTTTATATCTAAAGGCCGGGATAAGACGCGGCAATGTCGAAATATTTATAAGCTTAAAGTTCCCTCAGAATTCACAGAGTGTTGAGGCCGTGTTTTCATTTTATGCAAATGTACTGTGTTAGATTGGTAGCTAAAATCAGTTCACAAAGATTCATTCTCAAACAACTGGTGCTAAGTTGTGTCATGAAATAGCACCATGYTCAATAAAGGTATTTGGTACCTAGTTCAGTGCCCAGATACAAATCCTGGACATTGTACCCAAATGCCAGTGCATTGCCTGGATTTTTTTCCTGTGCAAACAGCAAATATACTGTTGACACTACGGTCCAGACCCACCATGCAATGCAGCCTGTAATTGGAATGCACACATGAATTGATTGAAGTTCAAGTTGTACAAAAGAAGTGCTATTGTTTTCTTTTATTGTTCAGAGAGGTTTATTTCCCTGGCACTGCAAAATTGTAGTTACTGTGAAATATAACAGACAGACCTTATGTTCATGAAGAAAAAGAACCACTTTCCGTTGTTGTTGTTTTTAGAATATGGTTAGAGTACAAACATTAAATGTGTGGAATACTTTACACTACTTACTACAAAATAGTGTTAATTATAAACAATAGAAAACAATAGAATTAGCATAATTTAGCAGTATTTAGTGGTATTTATGTTGCACAGTTTTAGTGTTTGTACTCTATTCTCTACTTGCGCATACCCATAATACCTTCTGATTTTGGGGGGTAGTTATTGTTATTGAAATCATTTATATTTGAATAACAATTAATTTTATTTGCATCACAAAACCTACCCCCCAAAATCAGAAGGTATTATGGGTCATGTGAAAGTAGAGAATTGGAAACTGTGACAAATTAGTAATTGTTTCACAGTTTAGAAGTCATATGTACTAAGAATAGACACTTAATCTGTGAAACAAACAGAACAGTGAATGCACTAAATCTGTGAAACATATATTGCTTAATTACTGCGAAATAGTGTTGATTAAACAATAGAAAACTAAAGCATTAGAATAGATTAGTTCCATGCATCTCGTGCAAATGCTAAAATACACAGCTCTTTTGCTCTATTTACTACTAAATAATATTAAAGAAATAATTCAGCAATATTCATGTTGAGCACTTATTTTAAGTTTTTTTGTCTCTTTTATTTGTTGCACCGATTGAACATGTGTATCTACATATTAACCATTTAAGCTTAYAATTTACCTATTGAATTGCAAAAATGTTGTGATAGAGAAATAGAAAATTTTGTGACTTTGGTTTTCAGCATGCCAGTCATTATAAAAGCTGATAGTACAGGGATGCCAACCCCCGAACTTTTCAAATCTTGAGATAATATACATGAACGAAAATGATGAYGTCATACCGGAAATGACGTTTCATAACATTATCGTTGACGTCATCGCATTWATCAAATTCCGTTATAACTAGTGATTTGATTGGATGTAWCTTAACCAATCATATTATAGATTGTATTGTGCAATTGMAAATGGCCGCGGATGGCGTGCAGTATTGTTATCAAGACTGGGATTTTTGTATTTTTTCAGAACTAAAATGACACAGATATGCAAGGTAATTTGAGTTTTAATAGATGAAAAGAGATATTTCAAAAAAAAACTGATGTATGAATCGTCATTATCCGGGAGATTTAGCAGTAAAATCTTGAGACCTGGAGAAACGGTCGAAAATCTTGAGACTCCCGGATTATCCCGGAGAGTTGACATCCCTGATAGTATGAGCGATATTGGCCCAATAATAAATTTCCCWCTTTTGATATTGTAGTTGAGTAACAAACCTATACACAAAGAATTGAAGATGGGCCTCAGGGGAAACATATTAGCCAGAAGTATCCATTCATTGCTTCCCCAAAGCCTTATCTTCAATCCTTTTAGCTCCTTTTTGTGTGTTTGAATCAAGCTTATATGTGCTTTGTGGAATATAGATGTCTCATTTAACATAATTGCATCGAGTTTACTTTGATATATTGTTTAAATGTTATTCATTTAGATCACATATGRTAATCTTACCTTTTTTTGAAGTAGGCGGATTTTTGTGATATATTCACTGTTTTTAAAGCGATTGGATGAAACTTGCAGATATCATAGCGAAAACGATCCGCCATTTTCTTCTTTYCATATRTGGCTTAGCTTAGGYAAAGGAAGCCCAGTGCTGAAAAACGCAGGGATCCCGCGCGAAGGACGTGTAATTGCCAGCTGCAAAATATTGGTTAAGTTTTTTTTCTTCCATTAATCAATGCAATATCGTTGTGTMTCCTGGACGTGGCRAATTTGGCGTRAAAAGAAAGACTAAAAAAACAGAAAATTCTTAACTTGTCATTCACATATCTGATCAAGATCCTGGAATTTCTAGTGCGCTATAGCAGGAGTACATAGCCAGAATAAATATGTACTTCTAGCTGTAGGTGTTGTTTTTTTTCTGCTCGGTGGTAATGAGGGTTTTTTATGTCCTAAAATTTGTACCGCTCGTTCATATAAGGGAATTCGTTATGATGTATACTAGACGAGAAAGCTCTAACCTCGAAATAATTCAAGTGCCATTGTATCATTTTATAAGACAAAAAGAAAGGTTCTCTATTGCTTAGCCATTACATAGTTTTGTTTTGTGGTCAAAGTGTCAAAGTAAATAGTAATTTAAATAAACGCGCATAAACGTCTTCTAATGACATCATATTGAAACATTCTACTGTTAAACGCCAAGGGTCGGTTCATACTATAAATAAAAAAAGCAGGAACAGTATTAAACAATGAGACAAAAAAAAAGACATGGGAATGAAGYCAAGCGTCGACATAAGCATAGCACTTAACATAAACAAAGGAAATCATCTTAAGTTTTGTGTTCTACTTCACTTTTAATTCCTAAGTCTATTGTTTTTCTGAGCTTCTATGATCATGCCACTGTATGAAATGGCCCTCAGTGTTGGCAATGCTGAACAGAGCTACAAAGACACCGAACATCATTAAAATACATTGGAATATTGTCTTGTATACAGCAGCTGKTAAAACAACAAATTAGCATAAATATGTCATTAATTGATATCATATRTTTGTTGTATTTGAACTGCCAGCTGGGCAATTTCATTTTGTATAACGCTCGCGATGAAAGGCAATTTTCATTTTGTTTTTCGCATCACACAGCAAGTACATTAAAAAATAGATCTATTAAACATGTACTCATATAAACACGAGTGTTTTGATGGAGACAAAATTGCGCGGATATTCGCAATTAATTAATTAGTTGTACATCTCCTCAGTGACCATAAATTAGGTTCACAGTATGAAAACACATTTAGTGGTTCATCAGCCAATCAGAAACGAGAGGCAGYCAGAAATGAGAGTACTCCTTTAACGTAGTCCTGWTATTAAAAGATAAATTATTCAACGTTTTCAGCAAATTCGTGTCTCTTACAGTAAACACGTCTTGACATGGTATAATAGCTTCTGGTAGTTTTTTAGTGACAGTATAATCACATGTCAAACATCATTAAGAATATCAATAAGAATTCTGGGAGTTTCTTAAATATTTTTCACGCTCGAGCTTTAAGATTTGTTTTCCCAAGATATATTATTAACTAGTAGTTAATAATTTAAAGATATCAAAACGTTTTCAATCGTGCAATTCTTGGAAAGTCTCTTTTAATGGGATTCTCGGTCGGTATAACACAAATCAAGTGAGTTCCCACAATTCTTATCGGTCATAGTTCGACCATATTCGAAGATAATTTTAGTAAAAATCCGTGACGTTTTCATTCAGCTGCCGAACGGTACATCGCCATTCTGATGTCCATTTCGCGTCCTATTGCAAGGTTTATGATGTGCTGAACCGTTTTTATTTGAGTGAACRCTATCGCTTGACCCACCCGTATAGTCGCTTTCGTCATCTTTTTTTGTTTTAGCATGGGTGAACACCGTCAGGGGGGGTAATGTCAGTGACTTATTTAACCTGCGTGAAGGTTTGTCGTTACCTTCGTCAGGGTCAATATCTTGCGGTGTTGGTGAAATGCGTGACTTAAATGATCGAACGCTGGTCGCTCTAGGAGAATCCGAACGATTCGGTGGTCGGTCTAGAGATTTTAACTCAATCATTGATTTTGTATCCCCACATTTTCGTTTTCTGTTATTAATATCTAGGCTTTTGTTCCTCGCCTCCTCGACTATCTCCTCACTTTCGTGTGGGTTGTTTGTTAAGTTGAAACTCTTATTGTAGTTGACGTCTTGTTCCTTACTTCCTTCTCCTTTTTCCATGTCATCAATAACTCTTTCATCTCCAGGATTTTCTATTTGAGTCTCTAAGCCTGGGACTTTCGGCTTCTTAATCTCTCCGATATATACATCTCCTCGGGCGAAGATCGTATTCCGAGATCTACGATGATATCTTCGGAAATTCTTCGGCATTCCGTCGATTGCACTGTCATCAGATTCTGCGTTTTTGTCCGAGTCCTGTTCTTGTTGAATTCGCTCAGCACTGGAATTAGACTGCCCCTGCATTAGCTTTAGTCTATCAGCGATAATAAGCCGTCTTTTTTTCTTTGGCAGRCTAAGTCTGGCCTGCGCATGCTCGTAGTATGTGGAAAAGTTATTTCCGATGACAGACACAGGGAGACCAATGATTAAAACCCCACAGATAGCACAAATGCTACCCATCAATTGACCAGTCAGGGTTAATGGTGACATGTCACCATAGCCAACCGTTGTCATAGTGATGACCGCCCACCAAAATGTCTGYGGAATGCTGTTAAACTTGACTGGCTGYTGTGTCTTTTCAAACTCGTACACAATACTCGAAAAGACGACAATRGGAATAATAAGAATGATAGCTAAAAGCATTAATTCCCTGAAGCTTGCTTTCARCGATTGCACAATGATCTGCAAACCACTTGTAAAAGTAAAAAATCGAAAGGCTCGAAATAGACGAATTAGTCTTATAGCCCGTAAAAAGTCCAGATCYGACTTRAACCAAAATATTTTTCGGTAATAAGGCACAAGAGAAAGAATGTCAATCCAKGTCATTACTTGYTTAAAGAATTCTATCTTGTTTGGACAAAATATCAAACGCATGACAAACTCTAGAGTGAACCAAGCGCAGAAGAAGTACTCGACTTGCTGGAAGGCTTTTCTTCTCGTATCGTCGTTCCTTATGGCTGGCAATGAAGCAGTGCACATCAGGACAACAGACACTAGAATCATTAGAAGTGACACCATCGCAAATATCTGAGAAACAAGAAAAAAAGTTGTGGTTAAATTTACTTGTGAACATGATTTTGAAATTGCTCGTTTTCAACCATTCCCAGGAGATTTAAAAGATAAAAGACCGGCGGCCATGTTGGAGGAATGAACAATAGATACTAATGAGAAATCCTTTGTTGAAGTTCATCTAAAATGGCCGCTGTGACGTATAGTGAAAACGAAGAATTAGTTATGACGCATCACAACGAAAAAAAAAACATATTTATGCACAGCACTGGAAAACTTTAGACTTTTATATACTGTGTAAATTAAATACATTTTCCAAAATATTTACATAGTATGTAARAGACTAAGATTTTCCAGTGAGACATCGCGTTTTTCTATCTCTTGTCTTTCTTGTTTGCTCGCAGAATTTYGAATAAAAAGTGATGCAAAAAGCACTTGGAAACGGCACATTAAGTTTTCAAATTTAGTAAAGCCCTTTTCTTATAGAACGTCAAAACACTTATATTTACCGTACGGCGAATCTACTTCAAAGAGTATGTTTTACATTGAATTACGCCCATGTTTATTATATCTACACAGAATTAATTACAAAAACAAAGCATGACGCAAAAAAGGGGTTACAAACGAAACAGAACCGTTCCTTAAATTGAAATATAAAAAAGTAAAAACAGAACATTAACATATTAATATAGAAGCTGCGATTGAATTTGATTGACGTTAATGTCTGTTATGTCTTTTTGGACATTTTGTATGCATGATCCAAAAAGAAACATATAGAGATGCAATGCAGGTATAACCGTTTTCTTAATAAATGGAGGAAGAGTTTTGTATTCGTAATTTGTATTCTTACGTATTTACGTATATATTTACGTGTCGACGGGACTGATTTTCTCCCGTCGAAAAMCGAAGGTATTCTTACTTGCGCGTATCATATAGAAAGGGAATCATAAGATCAAAAGGGAATTCATTTACGTTTCGTAATTGTAAACTTTTTACTTATAAATCTACGTGTGAACGYGTATGGTTTTCCGTTCGAATAACGCAAGTCGTGCGCGTCGTCAGGGTTCATTTTTTAATCAAAAAACTACAAGGGTATACATACATATCCGTCTAAACAAAAAACGTTAGTATTTGCGTACGTGTCGACCAAAAAACTGACACATTTCCTCTAAGTACCATACATTCTCGACAGTATTTGAAAGCATTGCACTTTAAAATTATTATAATGTGTATCACTGATTGGATAAAAATAAAGATGTTCCTAAAAGAAAGCGAATGTACCTAATGGGACTATTATTGGCATTACAGTATTTTGTCTTAAAATTAAAAGTGGTGTACTTAAAAATCTCAAATAGATTCGCTTTTCTTTGAAAATAAATTAAAATCTCACTTTTGATTGTGCTGGCAAAGAGCAAAGATAAAGACTTTCGAGATAAAATCTGGAAGCAGAAAAATAAGACGTTTTAATAGAGACAACATGGAAATTAAAACAGTCAACTTAGAGTGTGTTTAGATGAAATTCATACAATCTGTCAAGAAAACTATCACTTATCCCTCGGGCGACGAGGTGGCCCCTTTGCTTACAAAAAAATAACCCCAATTATCTTAGATCTGCCTATTGAAGTTAGATCAGCATCATATACGATTTTTTCTCCATACAAATATGATTATTAATTTTTGGGGTGAAATATTTTCGAGAAATTGTAAATTGTAATATTTGCTTAATAAAACCCTCCTGGTCAAAAGATGTTATATGAAGCTGTCAGTCGAAAGCAAATACCTTATCTCCGTACAAGGTTTAATAACAAATGGTATTATTACTATTATGTGCCTTGTGGGTCCAGAAGAAGAAAATTCTTGAGTAAATTTCATTAAAATCGAAAAGCCAAAAGGAAAACATTGTAATTGATGCTATTTTGTATTGTATTTCTTGTGCCATGAAATCAATGCTTCAAAAACAAGCGGCTGCGAAGATAATTTGAACCTTGTGAGAATTAAAACACCGTAGCGAAACTCGTTTTTAATTTAAGTTTTAAAATTACTTGTCACAGTACCAGTGGCGAAGATTGATCGTTAGGGATATATGTGTTGCCTATCATTCTTGTGTACAGCTCTTTCAAAAAGGTAGTTAGACCGAATGTCAAATAGTCGCCTTCACTGCCCAGTGCATGAAATGTTACTGTATCTGTAACTTTAATAAAAAGACCGTTGAGCTTGCATATGACCGCGAATCATTGTCCCTATGAATGTAGTAAGATAAGGCTTTTATCATTGCACGCTCAAGTCAACGGTCATCTTGAATCGTTGCAAAGGCATGGCTACCTCTCAAGATGGCGCAGTGAGACTCTTCATGGCCGATATTTACAGTGGAAATTTCTTTTACGCAACTTTAGCCTCAATTGCACACTTACTTTTATTTTTTTCTGTACAACGACAAAGYTTTTTCATTGCAATAGAGCTTTATATGAATAAATGAAGTAGTGTTGAAATGGAAACCAAATTTGGGAGGGAACAATAAAAGCTATAATTAAGGTCCAGAAAACGGTAGAGCATGTTAATCACCCACTAGCATAATTTGCGACCGTAAGAACTTCATTTAATAAAAATATTGTGTAATTWACCAGCAAAWGCCAATACCTCCTGCAACTTTTGGTTGTTTATTTTCTTGTCTTGAACAGTCTATTCTAAAATAGAATATCATTTTATCCCCTCGTTTGCGCTAAATATAATGCATATTTGTAGATCTAGATAACCCTTGATAACTTGATAATACGTCTTTTATAACTCGGGCTTCTTTGTATTTTGTACCCTGTTTATATCATTGCCAAATTTCTAAAGATTTTATACAATGATGTATTATTAATCATTATCGCATTTGGTAATGCTATATGGTGGTATGCATGTCCTCTTCATAACAGTTGGCATCATCGAATTKTTGTCAAAATTGTTGTTTTTTATGCACGACACAAAGTTTACCAATCAAAAACTAATTAAAAAAAACTTTTTTTAAAAGAAAAGTTATTACTTATAAGCAAATTCAAAAGTTTGAATACCAAATATTGAATACAGCACAGCAATTAAGCTGCAATTAAGGTTTTTTGATTTTTGGATTGTTTTGAATTGCGATGTTTTGGCATGGTTTTGTTTGTTTTTGTTTCTGTACAAATYTTGCAACAGCATGATATCTTGAGAACATTGTTATTTCCAGACGCATATAGACCTATATTAAAAAAATCGTGGAGAATCGGGAATTGCGATTGACGAAGGGAGATTGCTGAAAGGAACCATGTTACAATGTTTAACATACACTTTGCSTAAAGATGGAGGTCTACTGAGATGGAGCCAATGTTGACCACAGACTATTCTTCAGTATAAACCAGTTATTATTTCTCATCAATCAACAAAAACCATGGCTCCTCTCGGTCGAGCAAGTTCCATTCGGCAATTCTCCATTTCATCCGACAACCTTTTTTGGAAATAGGTATATGCTTAACTGAAGAGTTAAAGCAGATTGGGCACAATTGGGACTGTCGTGCGCTGGGGGGATAAAATATTACGACAGTTTAAGGTTTTAAGCTTAGCATGACTTCTGAACACTGCATCCATTCTATTTTACTGCTATTTACAATGGCATTAATCAGTGTGCAATGTTCAATATCCAAGTTTCTTTGAGCAGTGCATTGTGTTATTAATCNTCAGTAAGGTTTTAATAAGGCCTCATTTACTAATGATCTCACAACATCATGCACAACAAAGGGTACGTGTCAACCCTGCATACAGGGTCTAGTTTGGAAATAGGTATGTGCTTAACTGAAGAGTTAAAGCAGATTGGGCACAATTGCATGCAATTGGGACTGTCGTGCGCTGGGGGGATAAAATATTACGACAGTTTAAGGTTTTAAGCTTAGCATGACTTCTGAACACTGCATCCATTCTATTTTACTGCTATTTACAATGGCATTAATCAGTGTGCAATGTTCAATATCCAAGTTTCTTTGAGCAGTGCATTGTGTTATTAATCCGAATCATCAAATTCAAATAAAGCTCAATGTCTCCACGGCAAATCCTGTCAGCTCCGCGGTGCTTCCAGCTGACTGACACGATTGATTTTTAACAGCAAACATACACAAAGTGGGCGAGTTTTAAGTATTATTTGAACACAAACAATAAACCAAAAACTTGAWTTAATTTGACAAGAAGTTTGAATTAAACCTCAATTGTCAAAAATCAATAAAATAGCATGCACAATTTTATCATGATGTCTAATACATTTACAAAGGCTTTGTTTGTTATGTATATAAGTAAGAAATTTCTATTTATGTTTTGCGAATTCATTTCTACTGTCGCTAAGTTTTTTTGTTTTTTTTTTCTTTTTTCTTTGTCTCGTTTTTTTTTTTTTGATATGGATGTTCCCCGACTAATTGCAAAAAAACTTCCAAGATCATTTCCCATAGGTCTATTTAAAAACTCATTATAATTTTAGAATTTACCAATCCAAAGCTCCCTAGGAATCTTTTGACAAAATTTTAATGATTCTTAAGGAGGGTAAGACTCTCATTTTGCTCTCAATTGTGACAGGGAGACAAAAGAATTCACCGGAACACCGCCGCAAGCGTCGAGTTTAGAACTAAATGTGTTAACGTTTTTACTATCCATCTAATCCAAATCTACACGGAAAGTTCCTCATCAAYTTGTATAACAAAACTCGAGCTTTGTAAATATTTTTTTGCTATTGAATAGCATTGTTTGGTGGTTAACGAGACTTCTATAGAGTCTTTTGTCTTATCAAGGCTTTAACAGGTGGATAGGATTATTTATAAACTTATGGTTTTCAATAACGATGAAAAACATATTTTCAACCTCAAAGAACCGAATGTTTCCATATTGAATTTGTAATGCTTAATCTTATAGAGGCGTCTTACGTCATATTCTATAATAAGGGATTTTTTTTGTTCCTGAAAAACAGCTTATCAGATATAACCATTGCTTAATTGGTAAAACTCTACTTTTTAAGAATATTCAAAGACGACACGATCATAATTAAAAAAAAAAACAATTTCTACAACAGCGTGTAATTCAAGCGCCCGTTATAAAAATATATATAGATTTACCTGCAATAAAGGCCATCGGACCTGCTTCACTAATCCATTCATCACGGTTTGAATTAATAAATACGTCTAGCTGGTTCTGTTATTTATTTGGTATCGCGGGATATATTGAGCATATTCTTGAAGCTACCTCTAGAATATTATTTTCACTGTAAAAATATACAGTTGAATATGCCGACTGAATCATAAACTGTATTGAAACGTTTCCAAAGTTGTTCTGTTCTTAATTGACAACATACTGGCAATTTGTTTGACAGATCGTTTAATAAGAATTGGCGTGCAAAACCGGCTGCGAAACGTTGAGCTTGAGAGCATTTGTGCAAGCTGTCGTGAATTTTTTTAAGCTATCCTTTTGAATTTTAGGGTTTGATGTGTTGGTTATCAGGTGTCATGATATYATGAAAGARGATTTCAAAACGGAAGAAATGCTGCCTATTTTAACCAACCAGCCATTTCAAAARMACTATTACTTCCACGAAAATTTCGTCTATACTTTGGCAAATTGTTGGATGTTTTGACAGTACTACTATATTATTGCTTTATTTTTCGTGCAACAAATAAATATATAAAGGCCTGTAGTAAAGATCAGAAAAGCCAGATCGTAAAAAAAGATATCAACTAAAAAACACGATAAATTTACTTGAATTTTTAAAATCAGTCAATTGTTATTTAAATAAAGCGTATTTTAATGTGTGTCTAAGAAGAAGGCCGACGTACTCGCGGTGGCTTTTTTGCTACCTGGGAGATAACAATTATGAAGTGAAGATATTTTTTGGAGTATTATGCTTTAAACTTGTTTTATTTTTTCTCTGCGTTCTTTCATTTTGGTTCTATATACCTTAATCTAATTATCCCAAACTCTAGTTTTCCCTCCAAATATATTCATATTGAAGGGCTCTCTTGACGCGATTAAGATTAAAAATATATAGTTTACCTTGGCTTTTACWGAAGAGAAAGCATCGTCCATAACAGACCATATTCGACGTTGCAGTCGATTCCATAGTGAAGGCCCTGTTTCAAGGCTCCCGAAACTGTTTTGTCTGTCACGTGTATTTTCCTCTTCGTCACCCTCATCCTCTTCGAATTCAGGCCCCACAAACTCTTTTAAGTTTTTCTCTGCCTCTCTATGCTGTGTATAATTKGGCCAGCARCATGCTTCCATTTCCTTCTCCTCGATGCCCCAGAACTGCAGCTCCTCTTGAAATAAAGGTCCACAAACATCTCTTGGGGCATGAAGCTTYCCCGTGCGATAGTAATTTAGAATTAATCCAAACAAGTCCGGATGTCTATCAAAAAACAACTCCTTTCTCGTGGCCCCATCTTCTTTCTTCGCCATCAAACTCTCAGCCATCCATGCCAGCCTTGTATCGGGAATATTTCGAAGTGTAGACAGATAAGATTCATGATGTTTGCCTCCAACATTGATATAAATTTTGTCTTGTTCATCACCCGTTCTTGCTGGGAAAGACATGCCTGGTTTAACTTCTCTACTGGAGCTGTATAATTTATGTAACTTCTTTTAGATTTAAAACGATCTGATTCCAGAGTGTCAGGGACGAGGATTTGTTTTCAATTCAAGCGCATGTAACCAGGTGCCGAGAAAGTATTCATATGAAATCAAACAGTACTCGGAACAATTATTCAATATTTCGATGACCAAAATGTAAATTTGAGTCTCATCGTTGCAAGTTTGGTTTTGGTCRCAAATCGTTAGTGGATATCATTGTAGCCAAACTGACCAAAAGTTCCCACAAAATTGACTAAATTGGAAACGAGATCGGGGAGATCAGCTTTGAAGTATCGGCGGCTTGTATGATTGAACGCAAGTGTGCGTGGACGTCGATGGAGTCTTTACTTGGTTAATTTTTCTCTGTTCAAAATTGCATTCTGAGATTATCAATGGACTTTCTATTGTTCCCCATTTAGTGGTTTCATAAGACTATTTTTTAACTGAGAGAAGGCGTTTGTATTTACAGTATCCTAGGATACGATGACAATAAGAGATCTCCACTTATCGCTAATATAACGAGGCTTSTGATTGGTCGTCGTGGAACTGTACACCAGTTAAGCTGTGGGGAAGAAATAAAAACAAAAATTAAAACGAATTTCTTATGCRGAAAAGACCAGAATATCCCCTTCGCAGCAAGCTAAGTCCTTGAGTATCTACTGTTMAAATAAGTTCAATATCGCAGGATAATTTAGAATATCTTCTTACGTCAAGTACTGGTTTCCCGCTCTTTGCGCTTTCGAAGCAATATTTTTGAGGCATCACTATTTATGCATAATTATTTTGTCATTAGCTCAACAAATTCTGCGTTTTTCGTCCTGAATAATTTAAAATTCTGGGCATCAATCTTTAAAAAAAAAAACCCCGAACCCTCAAAAATTAAAAAAACAATAATATACAAACACGGAAATTTTGAAAACATTTCCCATGATCCCAATAGTGCATGAGATCAATCCAAGGAATGAAAAGACAATTGCATTTGTTCCCATGGTTACAACTGTGGATACAAGATGAATTTTATTTTAATTCTTAAATTATAACCTGTCTTTCAGTGTGTTTGCCTTTTATAAAACCAGCCACCTTTACCGTGTAAAATTTTGACACATCGTCCACTATTACCTCTGGATAATGCAATTTATCTTGTTATTCTATCACAGAAACCCTTTTCTTCTGACAAATTGGATCTTTTTTCTAGAGCTTCCAATCAGGCTAAGATTGTATCAGCGAAAGGCTTTCAATAGAATTGCTAACATTCAATAGAATTGCTAACAAAGTTATTCACAAACGTGCTGTTTCCATAAAGTGAAAGTTATTACAGATAATTTTTTTTTTAATGTTTCCTTGATATTTTTTCGTATAAATTTTTCCCTATGCTGTTTTTTATATAAATTTTTATAAACTATTTCACATGCTATTTCATATGCCGCTTTTCCTAAATCGATTTCCGCAATTTTTTTTTCTAGATCACCTCTCTGTTTTTTTACTATTTCCTTGTTATTTTGATAGCGCACAATATACGCCAAATAAGGCATATATTGATTGGCTCGAAATCTTTTTGTTATTGTTGTAGATTCCACGCGTAGCAACAGTCATCTAGCTCACCGATGTTTTTTCCACAATATTTTCCATTCTCATTATCTATTTTTTTTATCAAGTTATTTTCCATGTGATTTTTTTCTTAGATAATTTCCCTTGGTATTTTTTGATTCCCCTCTATTTTTTCTCCTAAATTATCTTCCATTCCAAAATTCATTTAAGTTCATTTGATCAACTATTTCTCCTAAATTATTTCATCCTAAATTATTTCCCCGTTGTCTTTCATATTTTTTTTTACAACATGCTACATTCCCTTATTTTATTAATTATTTCTTATGAAATCATATATTATTTCCCATTTTTTCATTGATTATTTTCTCAGGCGACTAGTTTCTCTATGAAATTCACTAACAAAATATCTCTTATACTATTTTATGAATCATTTTTTTAACCTTCCCACATGGATACGATTGAATGAGATCTGTCGGTCATTTTAAGACTGGTATGTCAGTAACAAATATGAAATAATTACCAATTTGTGCTATTTTGCCTCTGCGAGTCGTTCTCTTCCAGTTGAACTGACAATTGACCTACCTTTACCACTTATTGACAACCAATATTTCTCCTTTTCTTAAAATATTTCTAATCCAATACAAAGAAAAGACTTCAGGTTTGTAGTAAACACAACTCTCATGAGCTCTAAGCACTCGAACCTACTAACAATACTGATAAATTCAGAAAAAGGATGGGCGAAGATAATTTGAAAAGGTGTCGGAGTTCAGTTCATTGATTTTAAAAATGTATACCTATTTTATGGTTCTTGCGGCTTGCGACAGAAGGATTTCAGTCACCATATCACGCTTGGAATGTACAAGATCTYGCGATATCCTGTGACCTAGTCCCCTTATGTTTTGAAATATTATACTGATTATCGATTCGATTCCTTTTAAGGGTCATCTCCTAAAGTCAAATTAGATTAAGCGAGGCTGCAATATTGGATTGCTGTCTATTAAAAAAAGATAAATTACTGCAAAAGAAAATATCCTCAATCTAATAACTTACTCATATTTGTATTATAATAAACTACAAGCCAGAGAAATGATTCCTTGATTCTGTACACAACATTTCTCTGTCGTGCAAATATGTTTTCGCTATCGGTTTTGAATGAAGATGTCATTCTTGTTCTAAGGTCCCCTGTTGTGGGTCCAGCGAAGGAAATAATATTCTCAATGTCTGTTATTAGCTGGCTAGATATTCTCTATGTATATATTTAGATTGCTTAATGAGTCTAAATTAATGAGAGCGCTGTATCACGGRGATGGAAGCCTATGCACCTGCTATAGCTGACCACATAGCTAAAACAGACCTCTAACGCGCATGGAACAGAGCGGGGGCATATCGCAGCGTTAACCAAAAAAATTTTCSTCGAAATATCAGATCCCTACGAATACCACAGACGGGACAGGAAGCGTTTTTTGTGGTATTTTTTCATTATATCTTTTCGTTTTTTCTTTTTCATTTTKCTATATTATTGGCTTCTTCTTTTTGTTAGTAAAATATAAAATTGCGCAATTTAATCTCTCTCTTGTTTAAAAATYATGCCTAGCTAGAGGGCATGGCGATTAGACAATTAAAAGTTACTTTTCTTTTAATATAATTCTAAGCGTTTGTTGCATGAAAAAATAAAAGCGGTATTAAAACTGAACATGGTTATTACGATGGCCTGGCTTTAGCGAATCAAAACATTAGTTCATCAAGCGTAAACCTTTCCTTACCGTCACAAATATGGCTAAAATCCAAATGAAAATATCCCTGAAAAGTGAAAAATAAATATTTAATACCAGCACAAATTTAGCGTTATCTAGATCTTTGATGCATGAAAAAATCTCATTTAGTTCAGTTAACAGCTTACCGTGAGTGGTTCTTTGCCAGTTCTTTTATCGCGCTAATAAATCTTTCTGATATCCATGCACTTTCCCTCAATATGAAACCGTGAAAACGTTTAGCTTTCTACGTGTTATGATTTTGTCGGAAGTGATTTTAAATTGTCATCAAGCATTAACAATGTTTTGGGACTTATCTTTGGAATTGTGCCATTTCTCTTCCGTTCGTGATAGCGACGGACAGGGCTAACGGATACCTATTAACCTATCAAAATAAAAGCGCCCTATCTAAATCGTTTTGATTAGTGAGATCTGTAATATCAGTGTTGGCGATGRATTAACAATAGCGTCGTGGAAGATCCGTGCAAATGCGTCCGGTTTTATTAGGAAAATTATGTTGTTTACTTTAGTTTCAAAAAGTTATGTTTTAAATGTAAGAGGATTTTAGTCTGGTTAACTCAATGGTCGTAATTAATGCATGTTTGCGGGCCGATCTTGCAAAGTTGTCACGAAGCCATCGGAACTTGCTTTTTATTGCTCCGTTTGTAGAGAACGTCCGTTGGTAGGTTTCGTTTTATTGTTTGTTAAGAGAATCTATTGTTTTCCATGTTTTCTAAACCAATCGTGAGATTCGTTTCGACCGGTATTCGTGACAATGCAAATTGTATACATCATTTATCAGTACAGATGTCATTGATCTTAAATGGGTCGTGTTAAATTTACGTCTTAAGAGCTTTAGGTTTGTTTGAATGATGCAAATACATTGTAATATGCACGCATTTCAAAATCATCAGAGAGAACTGCCAATGGCGATTGTCGAACGGAGATTGCATGACCCAAAGGGACTATGGTTACACTGTTTGACATACAAAAATGTCACCTTTCGTGAAAATGGAGACTAAATTGAGACARTGTTCACCACAGACGTCCTTTAAKTATAAATCAGTTTTTATCTCCAATCCATTAGCAAAAACMCATCGCTCTCATTGATCATGCAATTCGATCGRTGTTGGCATTCGCCATTTTATCCGTCAACTCGTTTTYKGGGRWWRGKTTWWWAAARKMAAAAAAATTTCTTTTGGTTTTTGATGCTCTTTTCTTTATCCAAATGATTTTCCTGTTTTCATTGACTTGTCAGTTTGATATGATACAAGGGTGACTTTAGTATCCATGAATCGGCGTATTCTTTTAAATAAATGCTATAGTAAAAAGGATTTAAAGATTATAAAATGTAGAAAGTCATCCTTRTCGTGCTTGTTCAATGGTGGAAAGAATAAAATGTCAACACGCAAAAAACTGATAGTTCTTTATCTATTGAATGTTCTCAAGTAACAACAGCAAGATTTTATAGGCGATCTTCTTACTTTGAAATATAAGAAAACAGTAACTTTTAAGTGTAACTTCAACCTTTTTGCGGAATAAGTTGTCTAGATATCTAGAACATACCTGTCCTTACTGAGAATTTTTAAAGGTTCTTGAACAAAAAAACGTAATTTAAGCTCAAGTGTTTAGTCTCCTTCTTGAAAAAAACCCTGTGTGGCACACTTAGTTCTATGTCTGAAGTATTACGCTTTAGATTGGTTATTGCTTAACTTTACCCAAAGGGTTGAATGGGGTCGAAACTTTCAATAGTCTCCTTCACGGTTNTAGATCTTTGATGCATGAAAAAATCTCATTTAGTTCAGTTAACAGCTTACCGTGAGTGGTTCTTTGCCAGTTCTTTTATCGCGCTAATAAATCTTTCTGATATCCATGCACTTTCCCTCAATATGAAACCGTGAAACCGTTTCCTTTCTACGTGTTATGATGTTGTCGGAAGTGATTTTAAATTGTCATCAAGCATTAACAATGTTTTGGGACTTATCTTTGGAATTGTGCCATTTCTCTTCCGTTCGTGATAGCGACGGACAGGGCTAACGGATACCTATTAACCTATCAAAATAAAAGCGCCCTATCTAAATCGTTTTGATTAGTGAGATCTGTAATATCAGTGTTGGCGATGAATTAACAATAGCGTCGTGGAAGATCCGTGCAAATGCGTCCGGTTTTATTAGGAAAATTATGTTGTTTACTTTAGTTTCAAAAAGTTATGTTTTAAATGTAAGAGGATTTTAGTCTGGTTAACTCAATGGTCGTAATTAATGCATGTTTGCGGGCCGATCTTGCAAAGTTGTCACGAAGCCATCGGAACTTGCTTTTTATTGCTCCGTTTGTAGAGAACGTCCGTTGGTAGGTTTCGTTTTATTGTTTGTTAAGAGAATCTATTGTTTTCCATGTTTTCTAAACCAATCGTGAGATTCGTTTCGACCGGTATTCGTGACAATGCAAATTGTATACATCATTTATCAGTACAGATGTCATTGATCTTAAATGGGTCGTGTTAAATTTACGTCTTAAGAGCTTTAGGTTTGTTTGAATGATGCAAATACATTGTAATATGCACGCATTTCAAAATCATCAGAGAGAACTGCCAATGGCGATTGTCGAACGGAGATTGCATGACCCAAAGGGACTATGGTTACACTGTTTGACATACAAAAATGTCACCTTTCGTGAAAATGGAGACTAAATTGAGACARTGTTCACCACAGACGTCCTTTAAKTATAAATCAGTTTTTATCTCCAATCCATTAGCAAAAACMCATCGCTCTCATTGATCATGCAATTCGATCGRTGTTGGCATTCGCCATTTTATCCGTCAACTCGTTTTTTGGGGATAGGTTTATAAAAGCAAAAAAATTTCTTTTGGTTTTTGATGCTCTTTTCTTTATCCAAATGATTTTCCTGTTTTCATTGACTTGTCAGTTTGATATGATACAAGGGTGACTTTAGTATCCATGAATCGGCGTATTCTTTTAAATAAATGCTATAGTAAAAAGGATTTAAAGATTATAAAATGTAGAAAGTCATCCTTATCGTGCTTGTTCAATGGTGGAAAGAATAAAATGTCAACACGCAGAAAACGGATAGTTCTTTATCTATTCAGAATGTTCTCACGTGACAACAGCAAGATTTTATAGGCGATCTTCTTACTTTGAAATATAAGAAAACAGTAACTTTTAAGTGTAACTTCAACCTTTTTGYGGAATAAGTTGTCTAGATATCTAGAACATACCTGTCCTTACTGAGAATTTTTAAAGGTTCTTGAACAAAAAAACGTAATTTAAGCTCAAGTGTTTAGTCTCCTTCTTGAAAAAAACCCTGTGTGGCACACTTAGTTCTATGTCTGAAGTATTACGCTTTAGATTGGTTATTGCTTAACTTTACCCAAAGGGTTGAATGGGGTCGAAACTTTCAATAGTCTCCTTCACGGTTCCCTGCGCCATCTTAAAAGGTAGCCGTACCTTTACATCGAAGCGAGACAACCTTTGAGCGTGCAATGATAAATACCTGTGAATAATTGTCTGTAGGTTTGAAAAAAGGTTTCTATCATTGCACGCTCAAGTGTCATCTCGCTACGATTCAAAGGCACGGCTACATTTCAAGATGGCGCAGGGAACCGTGAAGAAGACTATTTCTTTCTAACAAGATCGAAGCACGCCTTTTCACGMAAAATATTTTTAACAACTTTAACCATTCGCTTCGATGAAGAAGAAACCAAAAAGTGGATGATGAACAAATTGTTTATGGGAAGTTTATATAATTTATGGAAACTTSCARTTTCTTGTTCGATCTCCTGTGAAACGAATGTCTTCTGATTTTATTTAAAGTTTTAAAAATGCTTGATAAATATCTTCCTATAGTATAGACCACTTTCATAAGTGCCGGCCATCGATGATTTCATAAAATTGACAATATTATGGAAAAATTCAGCACTGTCATATGGAATAACTCAAGCGGAAAATAGGCATTGTGGGAGTTTTGGAGCTATGGACTAAATAATAGCGAAGTTATGGAGGAATGATGAAAAAYTAAAAGATTTGTATGAAATTCTTTGTTGAGGCCTTGTTAGCTTCGATTTGGTGCCTGTGTGCCTCTTGTAATCTTTGTAGCTTCAAGA